CCTCTCTTTCTGTCCCGTGCGGTACATCGCACCCCCGGCCGAGGAAAAGGAGCACCAGCCAAACCGGCCGGCTGCTCCTTCGTCCCGACCTCCCGTCGTCCCCACAGTCCGTCCACGGCGTCCGTCTAACGCGGCGAAGCGCAAGCCCACCGCGACAAACGTCCTGCTCTCTCTCACTCACTCTGTCCGTTTGTAGTTACTTCTCAAGTGTTTTGGGCGGCCCCGACCTTGTCTCTGACCTCCACCCCTGGACCATCTGCGCAGCGCGTAAACGTTATTTTCTATACCACTGTGATACTATAGTGACACGCGGAGTGTGCCAGAAACTCGTGCTTTCTTCTCTCGTTAACTATCCAACGCACTCGTCTCGAGGGGCTCCTCGTGCGCCAGCGTCTCTGGCCTTTTTCGAGAGCAAAGCGCCCCCGAGATCAGAGGGGGTGCTCCTTCGAGACTTTTGTGCGGTTAAGAGCGTGCATGTCGATGAGTTAACGAGCAAAGTCATTGAAAGACCAATCGCCTTCTTGCGCTTTGAATTCCATCGGTGAGCAACGCAGTGAAAGCGGGCGGATGGGAGTTCACCCATCGTCGAACCATATGTAAAAGTACCTACTTACCTGTCATTACTCTCTTGTTTGTTTTTGTTTTTGTTTTTGTTTTTTTTTTTTTTTTTTTTTTAATTTTTTTTTTTTTTTTTTTTCCCTTTAATTTTCAGAAATGCATGTACGCGATGTGCATCAACCTATCGCAATTAATCATGGTACGTTTCATTTTTCGTGGACGTAAAATTAATGTCGTTGGGAAGTACTGCCACACGAGTTTACAACTATATTCTACAAAAAGAAAAACATAGTACCGTTTGAGTAATCATACGTGATTGATGGTATTACGAAGAACGGTGCCATGTACTTGCAAGTTAAAAGAAATGCACCACAGTCCGTATGATACGAACGCGCCAATGGTATATTTATATATTTGCTTTTTTTTTTCCGCGTCATAAGCAGTCATTTAATAACGAAACAAATCGAGACGAGTCCCTCGTCGTGCTGCTTTTTTTCGCCCATTCGCTTCCGTCCTTCAATTTCTGCCCTCTTGGTCTTATTTCCCTACAGACAATTACACAGCAATCGCCGAGCGAAGGTTTAACGACGTCGAACAAAGTTTTCCATTGAAGTCCAAGGATGGGCGTGCCACCGCGGTGGCGTTCCAGTTCGAATTCACGCGACCGGTTCGCGCGCCGAGTCGCCACTGTGCGCCGCCGATGTTTTTTCCACGATCGCCCGGAAGACAAGGGGGACACGCGGCCCGTGGCATACCTTGGTAATTACTATCTCCCGAGTCTCGTGGACACTTGTTGGATGCAATTATGCATAGTTCATATTTTTCTGCAGAGCTTACCGATGTTTTGTTTTTTTTTCCTACTTCTCCGAGGTCAGTGACTCATTTACCTTCTCAACTCAAACAAAAAGTTTGGGTGCTCGTCATTTAAATCGAATTAAAATTTTTTATTGTTATAATTAGTCTGGCTTAATCGAAAATATACCCAAATATCATTAAGATAATTCGTACACACAAATTGGTAAAAATATCTTAATAGTATATTTTGGTAATGTTTATCCCGGTCAAAAAAAAAATACCAATTCGACGTAATACAAGTGGTAAACAAGAAAAATAAAAGTGTCCGTCTCTGCTTGAAGGAGAACCAGCCAACTACCCTGGACTTTGTCACTCGCGCTCAGTTGCATTCGCCGACGGAAGCATATCATAAGTACGTCGTATTGCACGTGCACTTGCGACATTCTATTTCCCATTCTGCATCTTTTTAGAAATTAAAGTCACAAACACGCTATTTTAAACTCAATTTTCATAAGTTGCACTATTTTTAATACATTTGTACTGGCTGATTGCTTGCGTCATTTTACATTATTCTCATGTTGCTAAACGTACAGTATTGAATACTGGTGATCAAACTACAATTAAAAAAAATTTTTTTTTTTCTACGTGGAGATTATCTAATAGTTTTTTTCCTGTAAAAAGTTTAATATTATCCAGGAATAAATATACGTACAAGTGCAAAAGTTGTACGTACTTTTAAAAAAAGGTTTTTTCTTCCAATTGTTATCCTTCAAAAAATTATTTAAAAATGATTTTCAGCTGCTAACTTCATCTTTTTTGTACATGCGATTCTATGCATCTCATAATTAGACTCTTTGTTGTGGCAATAGATGTATTAGCCATGTCTAGTATGCAAAAGCGTACTTGTCTTCGTCGATGCAGCGATTAATTGTTTAAACAAAAAATCGTTATGGTGTCTTTTGAAATTTAAAATCGAGATCGAATCTTCCACTCGTCCTCTAAAGGAGCGTGCACGCGTACGAAGGAGGTCTGCTATAACGGTAAAAGTAAGATAGAGCGAGAGAGACGCACATCAGTGGTAAGAGATGCGTAATCATATTAAACATATGTAGCTAATTAGTGACTAACGGCATAACCTATTTTAATCCTTAAGGGTGCATTTTGATGGGCATACGGAGTGCACGACGTGTTACCTGTGTTAAGTTGAATGGAAAAGTAAAAGGGATAATGGGCAACTGAATTTTTGTTTGAGTACTTCATTGTTTGATTCCATCAAGTTTTGCGGAGGTTATAATTACAGATTGAATTTTATTTTATGACGCAAATGCGCTTTTATTTTTATAACTTTGAAATACCGAAGATGTGAATTTGTAACTCTTGCGTGCTAAAATAACGTCATGAAGCTTTTCATGACGCGTTATTTATATTAGTTTACTGTTATTATTTTATTTCTTATCGTCCAGTTAACTCAGCCATATTCTTATCTGATTATCTCAATCAATATTATTGATACAACAACAAAATTTTCAGTCAATCTTTAAATTAAAAAATCAATAAATACCAGCTTTTTTGGTTCAGCTAACTAAAGTTGTATATTTCTGTGGTGCCACAGGCGCGGCTGTTATAATGACGGAGAGTTGCGGGCGTGAGCCGAGAGAAAAGTGATAATGGCAGGCAGGCAGGCGACCCTCTCAAGAGTCGGTGGTTCGGGGGAAAGAAAAAAAGGCGTGGCGCGGTGCTTGCGGTCAGAAAGAGAGAATTAAGAGATAACAGCTTATTTGGCAGAAAGTGATTAGGCCGAGGGAGAGAAAGATATCCTCTTGAGATAACACGAGAGAATAGAGAATAAAGTGCGAGAGGTGGCGGCAGCAGCCAGTCCTGTGTTCCTGATCTGACAAGAACACGTCGAGAGCGCGACTGGAACTCTCTGCCATGTAAAAGCCTTGTGCGAGTCTACATTTACTTATGAAGACTCAATCAATCGTGGACATGTTAGCTGTTTATGTTGCGGTGGGCTCTCGACGAGACTGTACTGCTCCAAAGCTGTGAACGCGTAGTTGCTGTTTTACATATGTACAAGGTAACGAACTTACGAGATTCGTCCGATCGTGCAGAACTCGAAGGGAAATTTTATTTGGAAAAATTTAATTTTAATTCTCGAGCCTTCACGATCGGATGGATTTGAAATTATAAGTAACAGCTGATTCGAAATAGCCTGGAGAGACACACAACATCTTGGGCGATAGATGGTTGCGAGTCCTGGTCGAGAGCAGTACCGCTTCAGGTCTTGAACGTGTTGGGGGTTGGTGTTGTTGCCGCCGTTTGCGGATCGCAGAATAGTCGAGAGCTCGAGAGAACACTAGCCTGTTATTCCTGCCAAGCTGCCCACGCTGCTGTGCCTTGCTGTGTTCACTGAACGAGTTTTGGATGAACAGCTGTTTGGCACGTATAACATTTGAAGTGGGTAGTGCATGCTTTTACACGATTACAGTCTGTTTTTCATTAATTACAATAAATTTTTTCGAAAATATGCTGTTTTTTATCAAAATAAAGACTGTATTAGTGTAAAATTATATAGACCAGCTACAAGTTTAGATAGTGCCATCCCATGGCAGCACATCCATGAAAGAGTGTTACAAGAACACCACTGCATGAACAGGAAATACTATTTTTTCTTTTCTTTTTTTTTTTTCACTAATTATGTTAATTTCTTTTGGTTAATGAAATAATTTTTTTAATTATTATAACTAACGCACTTTTAAGATTCAACTTTTCTGATAAGAGTCCTAAGGTTCTTTATGGGATTCTAAATTTTCTTCTACAGTAATTATTTATCCATGGGATAGTGCTAACGAAAACTTGCAATTTTTTTTTTTTTTCTTATTCATTCGGGCAACAGTCATAATTACTATAAAGTGGATTAAAACGGTTTTATTATTGAATGCAACAAATTTATTTATCATACCTCAGTAAAATATAATAAAGATTAACTTCCTTCAAGTGGTATAATAAAAAACATGCTCTATGAGGCGAAATACGAACAAAATGTTTCAAATCACGTTCAATTTAGCTAGAATAGTCCTGTGATCTGATGCATTTTTCTCCTTAGAAGCTTTATGTCCTTGCTATTTGCATGTAAATGAATAAAATAAAAAAATATTTTTACACCTATTGTACAGAATTGTAAATAATCTGGGCTAATGTGACACAGTCAGCGGGTGTGTTGAGCTTAGCACACATTAGACTAGAAAAAAATATTCTCAAGCGAACACAATAAAATAAAAAAATATTTGTACACCTATTGTACAGAATTGTAAATAATCTGGGCTAATGTGACACAGTCAGCGGGTGAGTATGGATTAGGAATCTTTGGGGATAGTAATGGTGCTACAACTGCAGGTTACCTATGTTGTAGTACAGGTATAGGCGTGCTGTAGCTGGCATCATTAGTACAAAAATGACCACTAATGCTTGAATATCACGTAAAACACACTTATCGCACATGACCCTTTGCCCATCGTCTATTTACATGCGTTGCTTATAGAGTCACAAGAGTCGACATGTTAAAACTAGTTTTACTTGGAAAAACACAAATAATTTTCAACAAAACTCAGTGAATGAATACAATAAACAAAAATCAATGGAGAAAGAACAGGAGGAAAGAAACAATGGCACTGCACAATATCGTACAATACACAAATATTGTAAGATACATCCCCTCGGCTTGAAGCCGCTACAAAACACCAACATATACTTACGCACTAGTTGAAAAAAAATATAAATACCTGCGACTTATTTTTCCTGAAAATTTTGGTGTCCCGTTTTTCGTTTCTTCGCATTTTCGCCCTACACCACACGCACACATAGCTGGCGTTTTTCAAAATCGGGTATTTTTTTACCACGTCAGAATTCACGGGGATCAACTTTTTCGTGTCTCTGACGTGTTTTCTCCCGTGGCAGTGAAAAGGATCGGAGCACCTTATCTTGGCCCGGACGATGTCGGCCAAACAATCCTTACAAGCGCCATACGTAACGGCGAGGTCCGCGTTTTCGATGCTCTGAAGCCGGGTCACGTCCGGCTTGTGGAGCAAGTATTGCCGATACCCGCAGCAGAACTTCAGAGCCGACCAGCAGCCGTCCTCGTCGATGGTTGTCACGCTGGAGCAGCTAACATCTTCGCCGACCTGCCGGTTGTCCGATCTAGTTCCCACGTCGATCATTGTTGACAGACTGCACAATTAGCAGACAGAAGCACACGTGTACCCTCTGAAGCTCTCTCTTCACGCTGCACGCAGTTCACCGCCGCCGAGCCGCCGCAAAGATGATGTGTACTTATAACGACGCTCGGCCCGGGCATCGGTGCGGTGATTACTCGATTTTGATACTGATGTCAGCACCCCGTTGCGGCCAAGCTCTCAAGCTGTCGAACCACTCAACTAAGCGCGCATACATGGAATGTGTGCATATATGTGTACGCGCCCCTCTGTATACATATATATTATAATTGAATCGGGTATAGTCTATCAGGTAAGTATTTTATGTACCTTATTCAAATTCAAGCGGGACTATAGCGAGAGGCCGGCGCAGTACTTGTTGCTTTCTTGTTGTTGTTTTCCTAATTCCTGTAAGTAAATTTGTAAATAAAATACACCCAGTGCAATACAAGCAACGCAACTTGTGCACACATGAAATTTTCGGTACCTATTTGTTGTAAAAATACAAAGTAAAATAGTAATCATGAACCCAGCATACTGGAAAAATAACCTAATAATAAAAATAAATTACCTGTTTTTTCAAACTATATGCTTATTTACAGAGGAAGAAACCAACTGACAAGATTGCTTATTCACGTTCAAAGCTAACAGAAAAAAAAACTCATGTTGTAGTATCTCAACTTAAGAATGTATTTATTTTAATACTCTTCCTTCCACTACAGGTATACTACTACCGTACTTGATAAGATTTTCAATACCTAATTCAAAGGACTAGCTATTACAGTTATTTGAAAACATGAAGACTCATAAAAAAATTGAACATTAGATATGTCATAAAGTAACTCGATGGTAAGTTACACAAGATAAACAAATGTGTACTATAAAGATGCTTATGTATTTCAGGACTTGACTTGACTTATGCCATATTCAGATTTCATTTCCTCACCAGGTTATTAGTATATTAGTGTAAGTAGTACTAATGGTATTATTTTCAACAATTTATCAGTAAGTAGTGTAGTAAAGGCGTAGATAACATCAGCTATGTGCTTAAATGATAACATTATCTGTAATGTACATGGTTTTAACGAGAACTTACCACAAGTTAAAATGTTCTATACACCACACAACAAGAATTCATATCCAGTCAACAAGATACGTTATACACGTATTTTTTCGACAAAATTTATAAAGTGCGTATATATAAATATGTGTGAGAAAGATTAAAGGATGTCTGTAAAACTAATTTTTTTTGTGTTATAAAAAAGAAATACCGTTAAAAAAGATAACAAAATTGAAATTTTCTTAATTAAATTTAATATGGTCCATAACTTTTCGCGCAAAAAATCAGTTACCCCCAAAAATGGCCATTTTATATCATTTAATCAAAAGAATTGTAGGAAAAACTTATTGCGGGACTAAAGTGTCTGCCTATCTGGTTTTTGTTTCCTCTGCATTTCCGCAATCTCCATAGATGTTAAAGACAAAGGCAACAAAGCCCTTACTTTCTTTACGCTTATCGCAGCAAAACTGAGTATTCGTTGAGTCGTTACAAGGTTTTATATTTACCAACCATACGGACACCAACACATTATGTTTATGAAAAAAAATTTAGCTCGGGCATTCCGTACCAATTTTTGTGGTCAGGGGTGCTCGTGCTACTTATTGGAAAAAAATATTTACGAGTGCGAGAATGAGTATAATTGATGATATAAGCGTAAAGCAGTAGAAAAATTGTTAACTAAATAGAAATATAATCCTAGAGGCTTATTTAACCATGGAAGAGAACAACTTAATTTTGTCGTAAAAGTGGTGGTGTAAAATAGACGCATTGGGATCGACTTTTTTTTGCCCAACTGTACTGTAATACCTTCCACCTTTTCTCTGCCTTCTAGACTTGATAAGTTTGTTCTAATTATACCTATGTTTTTAGGTGGGATGATCAGTTGGTTGATGGTAATATGTTATTTTCACATATGATAGGCTTAAATTCAGTTAACGCATATCATGTCAGCCGAGGTTTTTGAAACAATACTCTTGTATTACTAAATAGTTATACTTTTAAGCTTAACTCTTATTTTATGCATTTAGCTCTGCGTCACAAATCCACATCGGACGTGCCTTAACTGCTGAAATTTAGTCTTTTTCGATTTCATTTTGCTTTAATTAAATTATTAAAAAAAAAAAAAAAAAAACAANTGGCAGCACATCCATGAAAGAGTGTTACAAGAACACCACTGCATGAACAGGAAATACTATTTTTTCTTTTCTTTTTTTTTTTTCACTAATTATGTTAATTTCTTTTGGTTAATGAAATAATTTTTTTAATTATTATAACTAACGCACTTTTAAGATTCAACTTTTCTGATAAGAGTCCTAAGGTTCTTTATGGGATTCTAAATTTTCTTCTACAGTAATTATTTATCCATGGGATAGTGCTAACGAAAACTTGCAATTTTTTTTTTTTTTCTTATTCATTCGGGCAACAGTCATAATTACTATAAAGTGGATTAAAACGGTTTTATTATTGAATGCAACAAATTTATTTATCATACCTCAGTAAAATATAATAAAGATTAACTTCCTTCAAGTGGTATAATAAAAAACATGCTCTATGAGGCGAAATACGAACAAAATGTTTCAAATCACGTTCAATTTAGCTAGAATAGTCCTGTGATCTGATGCATTTTTCTCCTTAGAAGCTTTATGTCCTTGCTATTTGCATGTAAATGAATAAAATAAAAAAATATTTTGTTTTATTTTTTGAAAACTTTTTTTATAGTGCGTTGATACCACAAAATGAGAACCTCGAAAAAGTTAATTAAACCTAATAAAAATCTTAATTCATTGAACTTGGTTAGTGTTAGATTTTCAGTTTTGTCAAAATTTATCATTGGTCAAATTTTTTTAGAAAATTGTTGTTTTAATCATAAAATTCATGCAAAGCATTTTTATTAACATACATATTTATGTATATGACTCTTTTTCAATTTGTAAGGTGATATTGCAATAGTGAAAAAATACTTCATTAGGTTTGCTAAGCTTTAACATTCTTTTATTATACACAGCTTTTTACAACAAATCCAGATGATTATGATTTCCTCTAAATTTGAAAGTTAGTAATAGATTATCCAATGCTTAGTAATTAGAGCCTTAAGTAATGATTTCGTATTACCAACGATTCAACGCCTCTTAAAGCAATAAATATATAATTCATCTTTCCTTGCTATACATATTTTTCTAATGTGTGATCTTAAGATCATCAGCTAAAAAACTATTCATGAAACTTTAATTGATTTTCCATCCGCTTTTCAGGATTCGTTTTATAATAAGGTCCTTGACTTTGTTCCTCGTTTATTTACACAATGAAATTACATGCTCTCATTTGCGTCTTTCCTGGCACAATAATATTTCTCTCATTTTCTGAATTTGTCGATTTTTTAACGTTTCTTTTGTACTCTGTTTATAATTTTTTAAAAGAAGATCGAATGAAGCTAGATAATTTTGTACATTTGTAACGTCGCAGACGCGGCTTCTCGGAGGATCATCTCATTAAAACCTATTTTGTTTCCATGCCCATTATGCCTATACCTATAACATCCTATTACAGGTGTATATAATCGCAAATTGACAACTGTCGACTGGCAAGCGGAGCGTAAGTGTGCGCATGTGCTATTGCGAAAAAAAATAAAAGAAGCAAAAGTGAGGTACTTGCAGTCGGGATAATCGTTGTTCAACGCTACCAGCCTCTGAAATTACCTCCCATTTTTACTTCCCTCTTTTGATTATTCACGTGTGCATTTCAGTGGAAATTGCTTTTTATCACTTTAATTCTAGCTACATCTACAGCTGTCTGAGCATAATCTATACTTCATCTATACATACAAAAAAGTATCTATTTGCAAAAAATAAAGATCCATGGAAAACATGTGTGTGTTCTTTATTGTTTAAATATTAAACGTAAAACTACCTGTAAGAATTATGGTAACCCGCTTTGAAATGGCACTAATCTACATCTTACATCCAAAACCCTTCAAAAACGTCAAGATATACGCAACAATGATAACTGAGTTTTACATGTACAAAATGAATGATTTCGATTTTTGGTACTATGATAACACAATAAAATCTTACATATTGTTTATGGGGATGATATTTCTCTTTCTGTTTTCTTTGATCTCCGTGATTAGAATTTATCTTTGTTTTATTGTTTTTGATAAAAAAGTTTGATAAGAGTAGATTTTTATTTTTTATTCACACGCCGTGTGTCGTTGTTGAGCTTGAATTTTTTTTTTGATGGTTAATAAAAGTTCCGCGATTAAAATTTATATTAAAAAATTATTTTAAGTAAAATATAGAATTAAAATAAGATTTATTCAAACGTAAATCCAAAGTAGAAATATGTTATAGAAAACAGTCTTAATTTAATATTATTGACTTGTTGGTGAAACATCATTTTGAAAGTAGAGTAAGTGATTATTTTTATTTTTGCTTTCTTCAATTTTACGTAACTTATTCTTAATATGTACATAAATAGATTATTTAGATAATGTAGATTTTTATTTCGTCATAAGAATAATCGCAAAAATCAAATATTGAATTTTCATAGCGCGATCAACAGAAATGAATTGTCCTTATGAGAAACATAAAATTTTTACAAGTATTGATTTTCAAATTACACGCAGTATAAATAATTATTTTTGTCAATTCAAGCCAAACAACGCATAATTAAACCTTTTTGTAAGTATTGGCTTTTTTTACTTTGAACAAGTGTGACACAACTCACACGATTCTTTTGCATTACATATGTTAATGTGTGTATTTACAAATATTGCAAAAACAAAAGGAAAAAGGATATCGTCTACCGCCAAGAGTTTCTAAATGCTGATGCATCATCATTGGTTAAAAGAACAGCCCAAGTCCGTTTTCATTAACTCTCAATGAAATCAAACATAATTTTACAATAGATCGACAAATAAAAATACTGAAACATCGTATCGAATCGCACAAAAGCATTGACATACCTCAAAATTGGGTAAATTAAAATCTTGACTATTTACAAAGAATCAGATCAAATTGGAATAGTCGAGCGTTGAATAAATACTTACACCCTCGAGTATCGCGTAAAACAGCCCACGACAGAATTACAACAAGCTCCTTGCTCGTATATAATATACATACACAACGGGTATATTTTGGACTAGGACTGTTACTTTGATGACACGGTGCGCAAAAGTATTTAACCTCCGGCTAAATGACCTTGTATGTAAGTAACCCTGAAAAATGCTCGAAAATAAGTACCTACCTCTATACAAGATGCTGATAAGGAAGAAAAAAATGTCACAGGTCCGGTTGTTTTGGGAGATGAAAAGGAGGACGCGTCGTTATTATATCTACCGTACTACCGATCATAGAGCCGTCACGTACGTACACGCAAGTAAGTAAATATCTCTGTGTGTGTGAATGTCTAATTTCTAACTGTGCTTCTTAACGTCGGCGACGATTTTTTTCTGCTGATGGCTATCTGCGAGAGATACGTAAGGCCGGACTAGTCGTCCTATCACATAGAGTGCGAGCACTGCCAAATGCCCCAAAAAGTAGACTCTCCTGTAGAAGGTGAGCGTCTCGTTGAGCTCCAGCAGTTGGAAGGACAGTCCGAGGTAGGACATGCAAGACATACGTGAGAACCACAGCAGACAGTGCAGGGCCGTTTTTGTCTATTGTTGATACACACAAATGGTATATTGATTGATAAATAAAAATATAAAGAACGTCATCGAGGTGTACACTGACCGGACTGCCCTCGGGACTGGCTTTGTAAAACTTGACCCAGATGTCCTCCATGGGCAGGTAGAGGGTGATCTGGCAGATGCAGAGGTAATAGCCGGGCGCGTAGCCGTGCCAGAGGGCCGACAGGGTCAGGGTGGCCATGGTCCTCAAGCCCCTGTGGGGAAAGCGCTTGTACACGCAGACGGCCATCCAGTACTGGACGCAGGTGTTCCACCGTTTCATGGCTTCGCGCACGAGGAAGCACTTCTCGACCGCCCACACGTTCATGTTGTGCACCGTCTCAAAGTCCAAGTCCTCCGGCTTGATCGAGTTTGGCTCGTTTGAACTACGAGCACGTGCACGATATTCAACGTGAAATCATGTTATGTGATGATAATTTTTAAAAAAGGGGGAGGAATGGAACCTACAGAGCCACGGTTTTTCTGTAGTCCTTGGGACCGAGTCCGGACGCCGGCTCGCAGCTGACGGGGTAAGCTCCCAAGCCGGCCATCTGGCAGACGCACTCGGACATCATCATACCGATATACATCCGCATGCGGAAGGTGACGAAGGTCGGATAGATGTACCAGATCCGATACAGCAGCGATCTCTCCGCGAACTCGTCCGTCAGCGCGTACTGATAATTAGGTTTCAACATGTATACAATGGTACAAGGGCTGTACGTCATTTTACCAAGGGTATAAATAAATATTGTACCTTGGCGGGGAAAAAGTAATTTGAGAGGAGAAAGATGACGGTGAAGCAGCTGATCTGTATGAGCTTGTTCTGGGTGTGAGCCCAGTGGTCGGCCTTGGCCGCGAAGGGCCGATGCAGCGAGTCCCAGTAGGTCCGGTAACGATAGTAAGGTCCTGCAAGCACAGAAACGGGATCGATTGCCGAGTAATCTCGTTGTCATTCTATTCACTTGACGCTCCCCAAAGGACGTCAATTATAAATGAGGGCTCTGCACACGACACATTGTTGTACAGGAAAAGAGGTACTTATAAGGTAATGCTGGCGGTGTTTTCGACCGGTTACATTTAAATTATTCACACCCCGAGTCTATTTTCTCGTTCTCTGCGTGACCACGACGCTTTTACTTTTATTGTTTTTTTTTTTTTTTTTTAATACCTCATCTACTTCGTTTGATCGTGTACTCAGGGTAAAGTGACCGTCATCGATCATTAAAAACATAGGGTGCTCTCAAGGGTAGTTTAGAAAGACAGGAAAAAAACCCCACCCGTGAGCACACCGACGTAGCTGAAGGCGTAGTGGAAGACGTCCATGAAGCCGATCTTGGCGAGGGCAGCGGAGCTAGCTCCTTGGAGGTCGTCCTCGGGTGGGTGGGCAGCCGAGTTGACCTCGAACGCCAGACCTGCGAGCTTGAGGGTGAGCATCATCTGGATGAGGTTGGCGTGGCCCGGGGGTCGCGGCAGGCCGATCCATTCCGACAGCCGGAAAACGACCAGGAGGTAGAAGAACGAGAAGAAAAAGCTGTACAGGTGGCACACCCTGCGTGATGGACGAACAATCGATTCAACTTTGGTGCTGATGATCGTTTGTGTGTATAATAAGTGGGGCTTACTTGGGCGAGAGGCGAGTTATGATGAGGCCGTTGACGAGGGTGCAGACGAGGGGATGGGCTATGTGAGTGCCGGAGACGCAGGCCACGAGACCGAAGCCGAAAGCCGTGCCGAGCCATTGGCGTTGACGCGGGCACTCGATCGACCGGTAGAACTTGCCGAAGCCGATGCACAGCAACAACAGGCACACGTAGATCACGTCGTCCAGCAGCATTTTCTTGTTGCTCGTTGTTTTGTTTTTGTTTTTTTTGTGCCTTGGGGTTTTACACCTGCAATTTTCACTCGGTCAAGTCATGCACCATCAAAGGACTTTTATTTAATTTAATTTTTTTTTGCTACGGTCAATACAAGTTGACGACCGAGAATTTGCATTTTCATGTAGTCGTGGCTGTAAAACCGATGGGAACAAATTCGTTTTCGAGTCTTGCAACACGACACTCACGCGAATTTGCTCTTGTTCGCGCTGATCCGATTTCTAATCTGCATCAATGATGCTATTCATCGGCAACAAGACAGCGCGCGGTGAAATATCGGTCTTGTATTTTATCTGGATGACCTTTATTCGTATGTACGAGTGTACATTTTTTACTAAATTTACTCACGTGCACCAGAGTGTAGAAAATAGCCATATTACGTATCGATATTGATTTTTTGACACATTGAAAAAAAATGTCATGCATTTAAAAAAAAAAAATTCACATAGTTGTAAAATATAAATTTTTTCACTCCCTACTCAATTGTAAAAGTTATACTACTGTCAAACAGAAATTGTATCAGTCGTGTACTTGGATTTTTTTTTTTTTTTTTTTTCATAAATTGCTGAACAACAGCTTCAATTTTTAATAAAATTAACAATTATCTCACAAAATTATTTTAAATTCGTTCAGCGTTTTAATTGCGATGGAAAAACTACCGGACAGAACATATATATATATATATATTCATATATTCATAGAGTTCGTATCTACTGTGTTGACAATTGGAAATATGTGTTTCAATTTTCTCTACACACTGTAGGTATAAGTATACGTAAAATAAAAACGAAACCTAATTCACTTCACTTCAGAAAGAAGATGATACAGCAAAACACACAAGTTCAATACAGATATAATTTTCAATCACAGAAAACAAGTGTAACAACTAATATATATATGTGTGTCCTTTATTGGATGCAAATTTATTTATATTTAAAAGCGTGTAAACCAATAAATTAATCACGTATGTCCAATGGAACAACATCTCACAGAGCAAATGTAACGATATATTCGAGTTAAGTACTCATTTGAGGAAATGTTAATGATGTATGTACACAGAAAAAAGTTAGAGGACGGCAAATCCATGTAATATTATTGTACCAAAATAATATATCCGTGGTGATTAAAGGTACACGTATTCACGTATTTTATTGTACACCAGATAGCTACGTGTATATTATTAAAAAAAGAGTACAAACTCTTACCAGCCAACACCACCAAGCTACCACAACTCGCGTAATCACAGTTGCTGAAAAATTCGCACCACCATCACCATCGCTGTCGAAAATAAATATTAAACTTCGCATAAATAATTGCGGGGTGCATGCATATATATATGTACACACTCTAGAACACGTATACGTGTATAAAAGCCCGCCGCGAATGGGTCACCTGCTCGGCAGAGCTCAGCTCTCACCCCAACCTCGGTGCCTCGGACTCCTAGTATACCATGGTATACTGACACTGACACTTAGGTCTGCAGCTTGGCTCTCTCTCGGAGCGGAGGCTCAAGGGGGGGGGCACACCGTTCGATTATTACCGCACGGTTCGTTCGTTTTAAGCTTGAGCTTGGAAAAAGAATTATAAGGTAAGTAAGTATGCGTGACCAGCGCGAGATGCGAAGTTGTGTGTGGAGCTTCGATGATTAAAAAAATCATGAAACAGTCTATTAAATGATGTGCGATATGTTTTACATTGGTTTCATGTATATACATTATTATTTCTTAATTTCTCGTACAATGTTTTTTTCAACTAATTTTCTGGTATTTGAAGTTCGTCGACTATTCTTTTTACAATTTTTATCAAAGTAATGAAAATTTTTTAATTTTAGACTGCATGTTTCCTAACAATTGCAATAAACTAAGCTGTGACAAAATAATTCATACGGGAGTTATTTTCCATAAATTACGTACAAGTATGATCTCAAAAATATACATTATTCGCTCCGAGCCGATGCAGAGGTTGCGCCCCCTCTAGCCAAAATCAGGCAAAATATCTTGCATGTAAACAAACGGTTTAGAACATATATACATACGTACAGCTGCTTGTGATTGGCACTTGGCAAGCTAGAGAGAGAACGACGATCCTCTCCTGCTGTCTTATTCAGCCAATCACAAGCAGCCATACGCATGTATATATGTTCTAAACCGTTTGTTTACATGCAAGAAATTTTGCCTGATTTTGGCTAGAGGGGGCGCAACCTCTGTATCGGCTCGGAGCGAATACCGTCGATGAGACTAAGTTGTACGGTATACAAGAAACCCATACTGCATCTCGATTGCTTTAACTACCGAGTTTGAGCCGAGATTTTAGAGTATAATTTCAAATTCACGATACTACGGGGTGGTATAGGCCGTGTATTCCAGTAGCGCTCTCAGACAACTTAACGACAACTTAAACATGACGCAAGATATCGTAAGACATAATTAAGTTGTCGGAGAGCGTTACTGGAACACACCCGTAGGGAATGAGAAATATAAGTTCTTTCGTCCGCGATTGAAATCATCGTCAGTCTCGACAAAAGGACCGTCTCAGTCCGCGTTTCTGTGCGTTTGAAAAAATTTACACAGTTTTTTAAAAGAGGTAAAATATATGATAAAAGTTGAATCGTTCCGTCCACGATTCATCACATTTTTCGGGGTTTTTTAATACTATACTTATTTGAAATACATTGTTGTTTCAAACGGATTGGCGTTCGAGGCTCTCGTCTTACTTTCAATTTTGGGGGGCCATTGTGAAAAACAGCATTCACTCATTGCAGAAAATGTTTATTTACTTATTCCTTTTTGATGCAAAACAGTGAACGGAGCAGGAGCGAAATGGAAATTTGCACAATTGGCTCTTTCTCAATTATTTTCGCACAGCTCGTGTAGCTCGAAAGCTGTCGAAAGAGCGCCGTATGGGGCCATGGGGGTGGGAGTGGGACTGGGACTCTGCAATCTCTGCATGCACATTATACATATGTATATATGTAGGTCCCCTTTCCCCTTAATCCTTTTTCACGCTTTTGCACGACGAGAGTTGCGCGAGTTTTACCGAGTTGATGCAGATCCATATACAAAATTATATCAGTATCATTAAATTCATTTAAGGTAATTAAGTATTTTTCAAACGCAGCTTACACTTCTTTTTCGTGTCATTGACATGCGTAAGTACGAGTGAAATATTTAAAATTTTTGCAAAATTCTTAAGTATAACCTAGAAATAGTAGATGTATTATCATATTCTTTTCAGATCAATGTAGAAAGTAATGCAACATAAGAGTAAGAAAAGGTCAATTTAAGTATCGTGAGAAGTTGACAAGGAAAAAAAATCGTAAGAAATATCATTGCGGAAAACAGTAACTTGCAGGTGATGAAAAAAAATTCTGTTCAAAAGCAAAAAAATGAGAGAAAAAAGAAGAAAAAGCAATACCCCACCGAAAACATGAAAAAAGCTATTGCAGCTGTTCAAAAAGAAGGATATTCTTTTAGGCAAGCGGGTGATAAGTTTGGAGTCCCATGGGGCACTTTATACAGAAAGCTCAGATTACCTGAAAAAGCTGATGCCACAAGTGGTCCACCAACTGTTTTGGAAGATCACCAAGAAGATGAAATCGTCACTTGGATGCAATACAGAGCAGAAAGGGGTTATCCGGTATCTAAACTGGAATTGCTTAACGCAGTGAGCACGTATGTGAGAGATTTAGAAGTGGAAAATCCATTTACAGCCAGTAGACCTGGTCGCCACTGGTATGAGTGCTTCATCAGAAGACACCCAGATGTACCGATCGGGCCGATTCGAACGAAAACCCTTGAACAAAATTCTTCCACGGAAAAACACTTGCAGGAATGGTTTTACAAGACGAAAACTTATTTAAAAAACCAAAATTTGTTGAACATTGAAGGAACAAGAATATTCAGTTTGAGTGAAATGGATATTGCGTTGCGTCCAAATGCAAAGAAATCAAATCCTGATGGTATAACCACAAACAGCATAACAACATTATTTACGTACAATGCAGATGGAACACAAGCACCACCTTTGGTAATGTATAAGTATAAAAACTATGTGCCGAAAGAGGTAATCAGAAACTGCCCCAGTCATTGGGGTATTGGTCTTTCAGAAACCGGCAGCATAGTAACTAGGACTTTTTTTGAATACATTGCAAATGTTTTTCATCCCTGGTTACTAAAACAGAACTTGACGTTCCCTATCATAATGTATATAGATAAGTATGCTTTGCATGTTTCTGTGCCTCTTGCGATTTTTTGCAAAGAAAATAATATCGAATTACTTGCAATCCCTCGCAATTTCTCACATTTGATTCAGCCTTTGAACATTGCCTTATTCCGTCCATTTGAAAAGACTTGGGAAAAAACTGTATCCCAATGGAAAATGCAAAACAATACCAAGAGCTTGAAGAAAGAGAAATTTCCCTTAGTTTTAAAAATTACTTTAGATTCCCTGGAGGAGAAAAAAATTATCGTTGAAGGATTCAAAGCAGCTGGCTTGGTACCCTTCGATCCAAGCATTGTTAATTACGATTCTTTGAAAAAGAGAAAGTATACAACTGCAAGAAATTTGGAGACAATTAAACTCCAATCTCTTGTATCGAGCGAGTTATTTCAAGAAAAATTACACTTACAATCTTTCGAAGCTAATTTACCCAAGCAATTGTTGAATAATTTTAAAAAGTGTGAAAAAAGTGCAGTATGGACTGGTGATGTTGAAAAAAGAGGAATGTTTGAGTATTGGCTAAAAATTAAAAATGCAGCTACCACGGTAATAGTTTAAATATGTTTCGTTGAAATTTAAATGAGTTCTTTTTTCAATTATCTTTAACTACTTTTACGTGCAATAGTATTTAGTCGGATAATTACTAAAATCTACAGCATAATAAACAAATGTCTTATTGAGTGATTTAGAAAATGAAACGTAAATCACATCGACGTTTAAAAACAAGACAATAAATGATTTTCAGATATTTTAAAATCAGATAAATCTTGAAGATCGCATAGATTAAAGCCTTCTAGCCAAGTGATAACGGACAATGTGCAGTATTAGAAATTTATTTTACTAGAGAAAAACCGAAAGTTTATATTTTATCATGAGATGTTATCAAGTTGAATCGATTTTTACGCTAAGATTACTCAGATAATTAATACTACAGAGATAATACTTAAATACATATATATTTGCTAATGCCTTATAGTATACAAAAAAATGTAATTTTTAATACAGCGGTTGTTAGGTAAAGACTGAAGAATTTTTGTCACGCTTCATACAAAAATATTATCTAATTCATAAGCGATAAGATGCATGCGAAAATTAGATTTACATACTTGAATACGTACTGATTCTGTTACATGTTATAAATTGTATTTAAAGTTCCTGAAAAAAGCATTTTATCTTAAATTAATTGTACATTGATAGAAAATTAATAAAGTTTTTTAAATAAAACAAGTCTATGCCCGCGTTACCGGGTTTTCCTCTCTTTCTCTCTTCCTTGATGCTGGTGGTAGGTGTATATTATATGGTAGTTGGTTTCTAACCAACAACCTAGTGCATCATTATCAGTCAAGTAGCTCCAAAAAAATAAAATAAATTAAAATGATAGACGAGCGGAATTTTCGATCCTCCTATTACGAAAAGGTCGGTTTTCGCAGTGTCGAGGAGAAAAAATCCCTAGAGATGCTTCTGCGCGATCGGCCGTTCGACAAAGCAAAGCTCAAGCAATTCTGTCTGAGGTTCACAGTGCCAGCAATGTACAGGACTTTGGTTTGGAAAATACTCTTCGGCATCATTCCCATTTATGAGGAAAGCCACGACTTTGTCATGAAACAAAGGACCCAGGAGTATCACGATCTGAAAGAGGCTTTAAGAAACGCCAAAGTGGCAGACAACACCACCAAGCAGCATCAAATGTTTGTCATGATGTGGCTCTTGAGGTCCAGGAGGGCTAAAATCGACATGACCCTGCAGTTGGAGACACAAATGCTCAAGCGAGTATACTGGATTACCTAATGTCCTAGAAAATTCTCTTGACATTTTTTAAAAACTTGTGTTTGTATTTTTAGAGCAATGTGCAGACTGGCGGAGAGTCTGTGGAGTATCAGTGAAACCGAAATCGAGGGAAAAATGGTCGACATGTACTGGATCCTCAGTGGTTTTTTGGATCAGGTACAAAAGTTCAACTGTGAGATTGAGAGATTGCGAGAGTGCATGAGCTCTATGCTGGAGAAAGAGGATAAAGAGCTGCACAACCATTTAACGAGCATCGAGTGTCTTCAGATCTTACCCTTAGAATCGTGGTTCTATTCTTGTTTTGCTGGAACAATCAGTGATTGTTCGATTATTAAGTAGATATTTTTCGCAATTAAATTGTGCATATTTTTTTACGATTTTTTTGTCTAATGTGCTCTACCTACACAGAATATGGGACAAGATTAGCGTTGGAGCTTACAGAATTTTAGTATTTGTGGCCATAGTTATGTTGACCACCACTAGACGATGTATCTTACGGTGCAACTCTGCTGACAGAGTCCTAGAAGTCATTAACAATGTGAGTAAAGAATAATCTTACTGCAGCTTACACTTAGAAAAATGGAAGAAATTCATCAAAATTTTTTTTCTCACTTTATACAGATAACAGAAGAAACGTCAGAAGTTATTGTAAACAAAGCTATCGAAAGCTGGCAGCAGAGTGGATCGGTTAGTTTATACTCTCAAAATCCAACTCCTTATACTATAAATACTTGAATAAAAGAGTGCCTCAGAACAACTATATTTTTTACATGTATGTAAATTTGTAGAATTTAAGTTAAAGTATTTTTACAAAGTTTTGTATTAATAAGTATTAAGTTTGGTGTGTATTCCTTATGTGTGAAATAAAAAATTTCTTCATTTAAAATATGGTAAAATTTTTTAAAACTATCAGTTAATTAAATGATACTATCCATGTATCTAACACAAGGTAATAAAGGGGTCAGCATAAAAAAACATGAAAAACGCTATTTGTCTTAAAAATAATCGTTTTTTATTTTAATCCTTCCGTAAATTAACACATTTACATTTTATACAACTCAACAACGAGTTGGATCCTCATTTACCTTCCAGATTCGTTGAGCATCTCAATATCATAATTTCTATGCCTCTGTTCCACTTTACTTTATGATACAACTTTTCTCACATGTTACATTGCATACAAATATAAATTACTTGACAATTTATGTACTATTTTTTTTTTTTTTTTTACAATTGCCTCATCTGAACGGCTCACAACAAAGTTCTCTATTTAACCTTTCTCTTTCGTTTTACAAGTGTTTGATTTTTTTTTGCGAATCTCGATTATTCATGCGAAATTTCTAATGTACTTCTAAAAAACTTGGTATATGTATCTTTAATTGTTTAGTACTTTAACAAACTTCATCTTGAGTTAGTTCAATAGTTTCAGTAAAAATCCTAAATCAAGCCAGATACCTCATTAATTTGCAATAGTTCATACTTTATGAAGAAAATACCGCATAAATAATCGACACCAACGACAACAATTTTATAATACATAACATTTTTATTCACCCCAATTTCGGAACCGTTTAAACTTGCACTGTCGCCGCTGTAGAGGTACCATTAAAATATGTCTATGGTCAACACTCATCAGCAAAAAATTATTGAAAAACTGACCCTCCATCTTTCTACAATTTTCACAATCTTTGGCTTCCTCCAGAGATCCTTTTCCATGAATTTTTCAATTTTGATTTCATAGTTTTCCATTTTTCACGTGAATTCTCTCGCAACTCTCAATTCAAGTATACTTTTATATTCCCTTTTCTCAAATAATCCTGATCTGAATTATTAATTTTTTTTTCCTTTGACGTATCTCTGAATTATTAGTCCTATTATGCGCCGTTGTATACAAAAAGGTACAAGCTATAATTAAAAAATTGTAAGGCTTACTCCTCAAAATTAATCATTACACACGGACAGGTGCAAATATTCCACATGAAATCAGTCATTGACACGAGATTGATTTTATGTGTAATAGATAAAATGTTGTGCAATGCATCTTATAACGTACTATTATAGCTGATAGAATCGTCAAAAAAATAAACAAATTGCCGGTAGGAATAGTTAGATTCTTGACACGTGAGAGGAATTTATTGTAGAAGTACTTATCGAAATTTATACAATTAACAAAGAAAAAAATTAAAATCACGTTCGTAAAAAAAATAGCAGGGTCAGGAAAAAGTGAGCTGAAGGTTGAATTTATACAATTTTTCAAAAAAATTCAATTATTTTTTGCATTAGTTAAGCGCGTGCGAGAGTTTTTTGTAGAAGTGACATGTTTGAAAGTAAAGACCCTGGGATCTACGAAGAAGTTAAAATTTTTTTTCTTCCTTTTTTTCTTAGAAAAAATAAGCTGCCACAGCTGAGGGAGAGAAAGACTACACGACAAAAATTTAAAGTTGAGAACTTTAAATTTTTCAAATTGACGGTAGATTCTTTTGATAAAAATTGGCTCAATAGCTTCATTTGTTGTGTTATAGTCAACGTCTTAGTTGATTAAAAAACACTATCGCGTGTGTAATCGATATTGTGATATTTTTTTTTTTTATAAATCAATATATATAAATCGATCTGCTCTTAACATACCTACACCTATTTACAAATATGTATCACCGGATTTATACAATAAAATCGTACGAATAACTTTGCACAAAGCTAATTAACATGAAAAAAAAACTTTCACATCATCTTGTTGATCAAAAAAATTTATTTTAACTACACGAGTTAGAAACTAAATTTTTTTCTCATTCAATAAAAATAGGGGAACACAAGATCATTCATAATTATAATGCATCAACAGTTCGTAAGCATTACTATACAGTGTGTACTATATTTTTTCCGGGGTGAAATTTTATGTATGTACATTGTGAATTCATTTTATTTTTCTATTAATTATCACATATACTCTCGGATGCACGCTTGTATCTCTCTTCATCAACTATAAATGGACACTCAGCTAAATCAACAGCCGTACATATCAACAAATGCGATGCACGCGCTTTTTTTTACCACTACTCTTGTTTTAAACTTTTTAAATTTATTCGTAAAGGATTAACTTTTTTTTCTCTCTACTATCAATCATTTATAAAATATACAGCCTCTGTCGAGCAAAAAGTATACCGCATTAAAAAAAAAAGGAATACACATACTATATTTAATGTTTACCACTGTGGAAAAATCGTAACAAATTTAAAAGAATGGTGAATACATAAAAAAAATTATTCGATTTTATAGTTACATTTTTCCACAGAGTTGACGCAATGTAAATGTAATACGATTTGCTGTCGTTGAGTCTTTACTGTTTAGGGCTTCGTTTCAACGTTTTGAAAATTACAAGAGATTTGATAGAAAAAATTAATTTAAATTCATCACCAAAATGTTGCAAGACATTTTAAAAGCTCGTTGGATATTTATAGTTGGTTTTGTCAAATTTAATTTAATTTTAGTAGATTTGAGATATTTATTCAAACGATTTTCATATAACAATTGCAATGGATTGTAATTTAAACCATATACAATACACTAAAATCTTCATTTAAGAGAAAAAAAATTAGACGTCTTGTTTCATGTAACTGGGATACCTACCGACCACAATCGACATGATTTTTTTTAGCGAAAAATATTGGTAGTCAAATCAAGCTCTTCGAAAATAATTAAAAGAGGAAGAATTCAGCATGCCAGGAAAAATGAAAAAAACGAAAACAATACTGGTTAGGATTCTCCTCGACGGCCTCGCTTCTTTTGTGCTTTTGGCAAGCATATTAAAATAGTTTTGTTTGTTTTCTTCATTTATCTTACGTACTTACGTTATACCGAATCATAAAAGTATTTTTTATCTGCAAGACCTTATTTGTTCCAGTGTTGGTCGTCTTCATTAACTTTTTTTTTTTTTTTTTTTTTTTTTCGTAGTAAATGTATAAAGAAAGCTATGTCGAAATTTTTTTTTTCTTATACCAGATTAGAGTTTTACAAAAGTTGAACAGTTTTTTTTTTTAATACTTTGTAATGCTTATAATCGTAAAAGTTGGCAATAAATTTTTTTATTTTATTTAAGTATGGTTGTTACGATGTTTTAGCTGAATAGCCATATGCTGATTGTCCAAATTGAACTTTGCCAGAAGACGGCCAACATTGCGCGCTACTACTCAATAAAATTTTTCTACAAGTATTCATTTTTGTCTATTTTTCAATTAGTTGTTCATCATAACTAGTTTATTTATTTATTTATTTTTTTTTTTTGAAAGCAGGTTATTTTTTTCTTACTTTTTTTTTATATTTGTTTTTTCATATGAATCTCGTGGTCACGTTACTTAAGAAATTAAATTTTTCGAACAAACGATTGGCTTTTGATATGGTAAACAAATAACCTATCAAATATATTTCACTTTATGAAATTAATTAATAGCACTCTTCAATGGTTCACTCATTAACAATGAACATTTTTTTCTATGCAACGTATAATGCAACTATTCTTTAATATCACGTCATGTCTTACAGACATGTCAACAGTTAATTGTCTAAACTGATCATTTCAATGAGTGAAAAGTGAATTTCACCTTACAACTCGCATTGAATGAAAAGACTTTTTATCTGGAATACTTTTTATAACAGAAATCTATTAAAATAACGAATAATCTTTTCATATCTTCATCTCACTGCAAACAAAAATCATTTCTTTACCAAATGTGTACATAAGTTTTATCGATTTGATTAATCTCATTTCACATTATGGTCAAGAGCTTGGTTCTGCTATTTTTAGAAAAATAGAAGTGTAATAAAAAAAATGAATAAACACGGAAGTCCCACAAAATGTGAGAAAAACATACATTCCAATAGTCAATGAGCGAGTTGTGAAGTGGACTCACAAAATCTATCTACACCAAGGCATTTGAACACGATAAGTCTACTCTGGTTTGTTTGATACAAATGTACATATTTTTTTCAATACCTTTACTTTCCACTCCACAGCATGTTGAACGACGATTCTTTGATCACTAAATCGTAACCACATAAAACTGTTCTACACTTCTATTTTTCCTTTTTTCAACGACAGCGCAGATAGCTCCGATTTTATAGTTGAACGACTATACCAGCCGAGTAACAGTACACATATGCAGCAGCACGTTTCCGGAGAGTAAAAAAAAAATTTTAAGAGTTTCTAAAAATCGATTAATCTACGCACGTGTACACAGCAGCATCGAGAGCGTTTTTTTCTTCTCCTTTCATCCTTATTTTCGCAATTATTTATGTGCAAGTGAATGCTGTCGTATGGCAGCGTTTTTTGTGACACGGCATTATAAAATCGCCCGATGGCTATTTGGAACATCGGCAGTTACAGCGCTGCCGAGTTGCAATTGTCGACTAGTGGCGAGAGGGCTACCTTACCCCTGCTACTGCTTATCCTATCCGTCTCGTAGTGAACGTCTAATGACAGGCCTGAAACAAAAAAGAATTCAAGAGTTTTTTATTTTTTTCAATCTGCCAGAAATACAATTATTTCAACCATGCCCAATAGCTCAAACGATTGTAACGTGTAGTGCAAAAGTAAAAATTATTTTCGAAAAAATATAAATCGTTCCATTAAATGAGATCGATGTTACTTTTAAGGCGACGTCATCAAACACAGATTTGTAATCAAGATGAGAGATAATTAGTTTTTACTTGTATCTTGATAAAGAAGTTAGTCATTGCGTGCGAACGATACGAATGAAACAGAAGCATGCACTAAAAAAAAAAAAATTACAATGATTCAAAATCTAAAAACTTGATGGATTCAGCAAAACACACAAAGTAGCAACGATTAGATGATACTTTATCTGAGTAACAAGGACCCACCACCAGGATTATCCTTCTCGGTTTGTATGGTGGTAAGTTGTAACGTACATTTTTGATATGCGTATTTACCGGATGGCCTCCGGGAAGTAGACGAATGGTGCAGCTGACCCGTTATCACCGGAGCCGAATCGGAGATGAACGCGGCCACAAGTAGGGCACAAATCACCAGTAGAGCACCAAATACGAACGGAGGTCCCGGTACCAGCTGCAAAGAGGAAAATCCAATAAATTCGATGAACCGCCCACAACAACGGGTCGGCAAACACAACAATCAATCAATCACAGCGACTCACTTGGGGTATGATATCGAAGTGCGTGGCAGTTCCCGTGTTATTGTTCTTGTCGAAGAATAAAGTGGCCGGCCTGCCCAGATGGGGAGGAGGCACGATGCGCGTGCGCTCGTTCAGGTCAACGTGAAACAAGTAAAATATGACGCCGAACATGGCAGGCCCGAGACCGTTGCAGAGGCCCCGGATCCCCGTAACCATACCCTGGGCTAGGCCCTGCTTGTCGGCATCGGACTGCATCGACACGAAAGCCGAGATCGACGGATACGTGATGGACGAGATCGAGGCCAACACTCCGGCGGCCCACATCATCCTGCAACGATAAAGTTGTATTTGGATAACAACAACAACAATAGTAAGGATACAATAATAGTCAGTGCAAGACTTACCAGATCTGGGAGCCAAAGCCGTACCACATGAGCTGCAGCAGTTCAAAGAGCAAGCCGAGCATGATGGTGTGCTTACTGCCGAGGGTGCGCATGATGGGCCCGAGGAGCATCTGGGCGATGACCGATAGTATGCCCACGAGGGCTATGAAGACGGCGACCATGGCACCGGAGAAGCCCATGGCGAGGCGTAGGTAGACGAATATACAGCTGTACTGGCCAGCCTCGGGTAGATAGCTGAGAAAAACGGTGACGCAGAGCATCATGATGGTGTGGTCCTTGCCGACGTTGACGAGGGCGGCAAAGGGGTCGGCTTGCTCCCAGGATATGGGGGCAGGTGGCCGGGTCTTCTCGGGTAGGCTCTCCGGTACGGCGACCAGGATGAAGAAAACGTCGAGGATGGCTATGGCCGTCGCCAAGGCCACGACCACGTTCACGCCGTAAGTGCGTTTCGTGAACTCGCCCATCGCTGGGCTTATCACCATGCTCGCGGCGAACGTCGCCGAGACCTGTGGAATTTTGGACGAACGTGTAAGCCTTGATTATTTCGTTGGTACTTATCGCGTTTAAAAACGTATTTTACAAAAGGCGCGATTGGTTTATAGGATTTATCAAATTTTTTAAAGAATATTTATTTATTCATCACTGTGTATACTCACAATACATTGTTGAGAGAAAATAATTTTTTTTTTTTTTTTTTTTTTTTTTCAAACAAGCGTGATACATTTTGTACGCGAGTCAAAGTTTGTTACAAAGTATTTGGCACGTACTTTATAACTTGTTTTATAAATTGTTTTTCTTTTAAAAGGCGATTTATTGTTTTTGTTGTTGTGAACAATTTTTCTTGAGGATCATTTATGTTATAAGCAGTTAAAAAAAAGCATAAGACAACATAAATAATTTTTTCTTTTCGGAATAAAATTTTTTTACTCATCACTGTACCCAAAATATAATGTTAAGAAAAAAAAACTAACAATGATTGACAAAAAATTTTCTGGCACATAAGTACAATACGTTTCAAATGTATATTAAAGTTTGTTGCAAAGTATTTGACGTACTTTGACACTTTTTTTTTCCAATTATGATTCATTGTTTTAGTTTGAAAAAATTTCGTCCAGCATTACTTATACTACAAATATAGTAATAAAACAGCTAAAATAATAAAATTGGAAAAAAAATTGTAAACAGCAAGTAACCGTGCCCAAGTCTATTTGCGTGCGCGTGTACCTTCGTGTCAATATTTTTTTTATGATGATTCTCACTTTTTCGGTCGATTTTAATTTTCCAAAGTTCTTTTGTTCCCCTTGAAAAATAATGACTCGCAAACTAAACGAGCTTGTACTCGGTAGAAACAAGCAATGAAAGCTATACACACGCCAAGTTTCGCAAAAGTTATAACTTTGAAACGTAATGACGATATAGATGCACGAAATTTTTCCCTCAAAAACACAAACGACAGCGCAAATCGCTGAAAGATGTTAATTAAAAAATAATTCTGATTGGCATTGTTTTAGTTCGTAATCGGCCAAAAGGAAGGAGGAAGGAGAAAAAAAAAAAAAAAGTATAAGCTTACCCTTCCGTAAGCCTTGGACCTCTGGCTCTCCTCGGTGATGTCAGCGACGTAGGCAAAGACGACGGAGAAGGTGCAGGCAAACAGTCCGCTGATGGATATCATGGCGAAGAACCACCAGGTGTTGATGCTCATGAGGGGTATGGGGGCGCAGGTGAAGGCCACGGTGATGAGGAGGAAAAATTTGCGGCCCCAGACGTCGGACAGGGCGCCTATGAGGGGCGCCGACAGGAACGACAGTATACCCTTGATGCCCATTATCAGGCCGTTCATGAGGAACGTGTGGTCGGGAAACGTGTCGTTCAGCACCGATATCACCGGCATCGTCAGCAAGCCCCACGCGAAAAACTCCAGGAATATGACCACCAGCGCGTGCCACACCGACGCCTCGCCCACCCCGGATGTCTGAAATTAATTTCATCGTTATCTCTTTACACACACACACACACACACACATATTATTACAGGTACACGCTATGACCGTTACATATATATATATACAGAATTATGTCTCTGCATGTTTGGTCGAAGAATTCGATTGCCAAAGAATCGAGGTGAAATATTCATCCCTGCCTCCTCTCCGACACACATCTATTTGGGCCTAATGAATATTTACTCCTCTTCCACTCTCTCCCATATTATATATTATACACTCGTACGACGCGTCTCATCAATTTTTCAACGCTAAATAGGTGTATCGCCTAGCCGTACTCGAGAAATATTCATGCCCGCGGTGCGTCTCTGTTACAAGGTCACTTACATGATTTACCGTCCTTCTCGGTTATTATGGGCACATCTCGCCGATTTCAAGATCTCGAAATGAGGTCGCGTTATTCCATAGGTGTATATACGATTGTTCGTGGTGAGGAAAAAAAAAAAAAAAGAAAAAAAGGAACGCTTGCAAAAGTCTCGTTTGTTCGCGCTGATGGGGCCTCGTGTACTTGTATGTTTCACACGCGCTGAAAGTTTGTTTGTCCAGCGTCAGCACCAGTGTATACGTAGGGGGGAGAAGGAAAAAGAAAAAAAAAAATTCATCCGCGCGAGCGCGTTAATTATAGACCCTCGCCCATGTGTAACCCGCAGCCACACGCGTCTTTTTATAGAAGCCCTATAAGCAGAGAGATATGCCGCGCGGCTCCCGTATAATACATAAATTAATTGGGCATAGCGTCTTGAAAAACTTGTCGAAATGCACGTACGCAATCCGTACAACTTTTTGCACCAACCGCGTCCAAAATGTGCGAGAGAGGGGGAAAAAGTTGAGTGAAACACACGTAGCGCTCGCAATGTTTAATTTTATTTTTTTTTCCGTCGCCACGTAAGTACGCCCTTTGACTATTGTGCCACGCGGGCAAAATCGATGAGAGAGTATATTGCGTGTACTCTGTCGCGGCGCTAATATGATGTGGCAATGACGAAAGGACATGGTGGGAGAGAGAAGCGTAAGGTTATTTGTTTATCGACGTAGCGCGGAAATTGTGTGATGATTTCATTTATTCGCTAGTAGGCGCGACCCGAGGGTATATATATATACATAGGAGAGGTAAGATGAATGTTAATGGCTCGCGAGGAATGAAAAGTGGGCGCGGGAACGCGTGACCCTTACCGATCATTCGGTGTCTACAGCGCGCCAACCGCGGCGTATTATTATACATATTGTTCGTGCGTTGGAACCCTGTGGTTGTTAACAATAGTAACTTCGCGGATACATGAGTTTCATGGGTTCAAGCAATACTGCAAACCTCAAAGGCAAGTTTTTGATTCGTACACATTTAATACAAATTTTTTGTCGTATTCAGAAAATTCTGAATTAGTATTTAGTCCGATGTACGCACATGAAGGTTATTAAAAAAAAAAAAAAAAAAAGCATTGCAATCGCGAAAATGAATATAGATTTTGTTTTGGACCTATAAAACACTATGCAGTGTTTAGATGTACATACAAATGATATTGTGCATAACCTTTGAGCTGATGTTGGGTTTAAATATTACGGTCAGTTATTTAGAAAATTAACCAAGTTTGAAGGAAAAACTCGTCTCTTTGGCAACTAAAACGATCTCTCTACATAACAAGAGTCTCTATGTACCTCCAAACACCTTTTTGATTCAATTTCTCGAAAACTACTAAGGTTGGCCCAGTAGAATTTTGCACAAGTGTTGTTTTTAGTGATAAAAGAAGTGTATAATGATTTTAAAAAGTATAATATACACAGGGAAAACAAAAATATCACGGTATAAACCTCCCCGATGGTACAGTAAAAAATGAGTAATGTCGGACGTAACTGGTTCACACCAGAATCGCTATACTCACGGGCACTCTGAATTTTCGATATTTTTTTTTTTTGAAAATGCACACAATTACATACTTTCCACACTTGCACCCTCCACAGCACAGCAAAACGTAGGGGGGAAAACCGACCTATATATACACCGATCGAAAACCATTGTTTGTCAAAAGCACGAAGCGCCACTCGAAAAGAGAAAAAAAAAGCCATATACCCAAGTCATTGGTGTTTGCTTTGGTGATTTATCGATCTCTCCCTCCGAGGAAAATTGGTGCACACTCGCAAGCAAGAAGAGCACATATGAGGAGGAGGAGGAGAAACAAAAAAAAAAAAAAAAGGAGAAAAGCGACTAAAGCTCAGCTAAGGCGCTTTCAAGCGGATACGCACACACGCGCGAGAGGAAGAGAGGCACTTGACAGCCGTGCCCGCCAATTATTATAAAATCTCTCCCCCTCGCAGCCGCGACACTGACACACATTCCCCTCCTATTATATCCCGCGGGGCAGTATTGACATCCAGGAGGGTATACACACACACGCCTCGTTCATCGGATATATCTGACTGACAAACTTGAACTATATTATATTGTACGAACGCACACGTAGGTACACCTCAACAAATAAATCAAGCTCCAAGCCAGCCACGTGCAAGCTCCATATATATATGATGTAAACTTATGCGGATGTTTTTCTTAACAATATATCGCCCCCCCCCCCCATATCTCCATGGAGAGCTAACAAGACGGGAAGGTATAGGAACATAAACCGTTGCGTTTGTATATTATATAGGGGGGGGGTAAACAGCTGACCTTGAGGTGTTGGTAGCATCGGTGGGCGAGGGTCTGATCGGGGGGTATCGGCACAGCCGTGGCCCCGACAGCCGCAGCGGCCGCCGTTGTGGTGGTTGTATCGTCCTTCGCGGGGTCATTGCTCTGGCGTTGTTGCTCGGAGCAGGAGTCCAGGACCTCCGAGTCGAGGCTGGTCGCCCCGGGCGTCATAGCCCGCTCAGGCGAGTCTCCGCTTGAACCGCTCCATCACATCCCTTACCGACAAGGCGCTCGTGTGTTTTCTTGTTAACACACCAAGAGTATATGCGATGACGATGGCGCACGCTGTAAGGACAGATCCTTTATAGTTGCGTCGACGGGGGTGGTTGAAGGGCCTCCCTTTTACCGGTGACGATGGGACCCTCGAGTGCCGATCGGGGGACCCATTGGTGTGGATGTATCAGCTGATTGCACAACGAGCCTCAGCGCGCATCTCTCGCCGTCGTTGCGATCACTTCCTCGGGGTTGAGGGAAGAAGGAGAAGAACGGTAACCAGGACGGCGGTGGCGTGGGTACATCGCGATGGCCCAACAAAGGCGACGGGGCGATTTATCGAGCGAGCCAGTAGCCGGGGTGTCCTGGACGCAGAGCTAATCGATGCCCGACAACAACAGGGGGGAAAGGGGGCACGAGAGCTTTTTAGGCCAAACTAATGCCTCTGCACTGCACTGTTATTGTTGGACCAACAAGCGTGCTCCTCCTCCTCCGCGTGTGTATGTATATTACATATATAGCGGCCCGATGGTCCAGCAGCTGTTCAGTTCGCTCGCTGCAGCAGCATCATCCCTCTATATACGTTTATACCAATTAGCCCCTCAAAGTTTGCACACTCCTCTGTATGATATGTGGGTGTATATATAGCAGCATCCTCCACACACACGAGGATCTACGTATACTTGGGGACCTTATTCTTTTTTATTTTTCTCTCTTTCTTATCTTATGTATTTTTTGTTTCTTCCTCTCACCCCCTCCGAGATCAATAATCCACGCGCTCTCACGCTGGGGGATGGACGACTGTAGAGCAGATGTATAACCCACACACTAGGGTCGCCGTGGGTGTGTGTGTGTGTTCCGTGGCGAGGGAGCGCGCGCGCGGACAGACCGCCACCGACCGACTGACTGACTGGTGCACCAGCTCCTTCCTCTCTACCTATATCCAGCCTCTCTCTCTCTCTCTCTCTCTTTCTTTTCTACGAGGAGGAGACTCTCCGCGCGCACACTCTCTTGGGGAGGAAGGGAGCGCAAGCGCGAGCTCTATCTCTCTTTTTGCCGATGTGCGTGTGTGTGTGTGTGTGTCGCGAGAGTGAAAGAAAAAAAAAAAAAAAAAAAAAGGGCACACGATACACACAAATATAAATACACCCTCCTCTCATCATCTGGGACACCGGATCTGGAGGAGGAGGAGGGGCATCAATGTCACGGCTGATGGGGCTCTCTTCTTCTTTTTCATCCCTTCTCTGTTTGTGTCCCCCCCCCGCCCCCCGTACTTATATAGGTATACATTCATGAAATCTTGCAATTTTTTTCATCCACCACCCCTCATCCTCCCCATGAGCTTTGCATGCGGTGTTATCGCAAGCGCGCGCGCGCGCGCCGTAAGCTCATTCATCTCTGATGTTCGCGCGCGCACGTGCGTATAGTATACAATATTAGGTGGGTAGACTGACCTTAATTGACGCAACAGCATCACTCTATGTACATACCGTGTGCGTGTGTGTGTGTGCGCGCTTGACTCCGAGCAACCTTTTTTTTTTTTTTTTTTTTTCCACATCATTGGATACTGTCATTATATGTCATTAACGCGCCTAGAGTCCAGAGACCCTATATACCTATTGATGATCGCTGACGACTGATATACAGCCACCAATCTCGTATGTGTTTCCATCTCTCTTTTTGGTTGACCCACATAATTTGTTTTCAGCTTAATCCGTTCTGATGCTTGATCAAAGTGCAGCTTATTTATGCGAGGAAAACAAAAGTAAAAAATAAAAAATAAAAGAGGAGTCGCGCATGTGCCGTTTAGAAAGGGATGTACTTATACCGCAGGGAGCCAAAGTATACATACAATATACAAGGGAGGATCAACGAGGGTATGTGTGTGGGGGGGGGGCGGTTTGTGCACATATACCCACGGTTTTTGGCGCACTGCGATGGATTTATGTAGCTTTTGTTGATTTGATCCCGCGCTAGTACACGCGCGCTACTTATCTATATATAATATCTCGTATGATGATGAGAAAGAGAGATACACCGAAATGCGGATGTTGGAATTTCGGGAGCGTTTGAATGATATTTGTGTGTATAAGTACGTGTCGTCTCGAAGGGGGGAAAAAAAAAAAAGAAAAGTCATGAAATGATGCAAAAAAATGAGGCTCCGGAGGGTCGTTCGTTACTTTAATTTCCGGTTGTATTTGCGTGCGAGAAAGAGGAGGGACGCGCGCGCTCGAAAAAAAAAATACACGTATAACTTATTCCCAGTGCGGCAACGATAACTACGACTTATCATACATTACAAGGTGCAGGTCCGCGGTCTTATGTCACACACACAAACCCATACCTGATATTGTAACGATACGTACAGAGGCAGGCGGACCTTATATTTATTATGTACGGGTATGACAGTTTTTTTCTTTTTTCCTTGAAACAGCTTGCTATACAGCGGTGCACAAAGGAATAATTTATAGCTATACACAGGCCTACTCGTGTATACGCGACTAATCAAAAAACACATCAAAGGGAGTCGCATCGTCATTTCACGGATTGATCCTCTTTCCCGCCCCCCCCCCCTTTGTGTTCGCAAATGATCTAACAATATGTTGTTTATATTGTTGCGTGGATACACGCCGATTTTTCTTCTTCCTTTATCTTCGATTTGTTTGAAGGATGAGTCGGATGTGTCAAATACATTCATAGTTGCACGCGAGTCGTGTAATTTTTTAATATATATTTTTTGGAAGCGAAAAAAAGGGTACATTATTCATTTCGTTGACGCCGCTTACATAGCGATGATGAGAAACGAAAAATGTATTTCTGGAAGAGACGAGAATCATTTTCGGAATTCAGGTCTGGATTAAAACGCTCGGGGGTATAGGTGTATATACATATATGCATTGCACTCGAGAGTTTGCATGCATAATTAAAAAAAAAAATTTAGGATTAAAATTGATGCAAGTCATGTTTCTTTAAATAATTTATACAATTGTATAGGTACAATACCTAAACGATTTAAGCCCGCGCGCGGAGGTGTGTGTATAGGCGTGTTGTTTGAATTATTACTTTTGCTCGTGTACTTTTCGTGTCCTCTGGAAATACAGTTTTTTTTTCTTCCCCCTTCCCCCCCATCCTCGGATAAATTAAAGACCCGCAGCGGTGAACTTTTATACAGGGTTTTAGTTGCGCGTCCTCTGTAACCTACGGTACATCAAAAACAAAGCTGCAGTTAAAGGGTAAGAGAAAAATTGCTTATGTGATGGAAAAAAAAAAAAAAAAATTGTTTAGGTTTCCCAAAAACTATAAATTTATGAGCAAAATGGATCAGAACCGACGTTAGAAACAATCAGAAACAAAGCGTTATCGCGTATAATTAGATAATAATATACACAGTTTGTACATGATAGACAGGCCAGTCACCCGATAATGCCTCAAGACGTTCATTACGCCGTGTATATGTGTGTATTAATATTTACTTGCGCGTGAAAGCAGTAAGCGATGTACGTATATTATTATGTTCACGTATGGCGTGCACGCGTGTCATAAAATTGATCGGATAGCTGTGGTTTGTAATTACACAGTGCACGCGGGCATGAATGTCAGTGCCATCGATGTAACTGGATGTTATTATATACACGACCGTACTTAGCTCAGGGACACATTACGTACAACATTCGAAAACATTGCGACGCCTACGTACATAAGTTTCATTCAATTTTCAAGTTTTTTTTTTTTTCATCTTATCTGTGATGAATCGTTACTTGATTAAAATGAGTAAGTAGTAGGAAGACATTGAGAAAACGAAACTATGATAATATATTGTAATCTTTGAATCCAAGCAAAATACGCTGTTAACCCAAGTGAGTCACCAAAAATATATTTCTAAGCTTTTTTAAAAAAACACATGTGGTATCTCTCATCAATAATTTATGAGCGTTTCGATCTATAAGTTACATGCACATGATCAATTATTTAACGAAAATAATTAATGAAAATACGCTGTATGGGGACCTGAAACATCCTGTAACACAATTAACACGCGATGGCGTGTACAAAAAATTAGCATTACTACAGCATATGTACAGCGTAAAATAAGAAAGCGAATCTAAAAATGATTACGGATCGGGTGACCCAAGCAAAACGAGAGAAATCGTGGAAAAAAAAAACTAACAAAGGACAAACGATTCTCATCAAGGTTCACACTCTCTCGGGCCTTGAACAATCACACTTTGCGCGTTGTAGCTATGTATACACATTTGGTCAATTTAATAATATATAGGTACGCGGAGAGAAACACGAATACATGTAGCTACATGTAAAGAAAAAAAAAAAGAAAGTTTCATCTAAAAAAATGTCTCCTCGAGACACACACACACACCAGAATCCAGAATATGGAAGACGAGGCGAATTACAACAAAAGCCAAAACGAGGAGAAAACAAGCAGCTCGTTTGCCTTGATGTAATATCCACGTGAAAATTCATTCAAGGCGAAGGCGAGCAGCTACAAGGAAATCGGTCTTATCTCTCGTGTCGCCACGTTTATCCGTACATATGTATACGCCGTTTGTAAATACGTGTAATATGTATATATATGGGTGGTTTTACACGTCACTTGAAAATAAAGGGAATTAGAGGATATACTCGCGTATATTTGTAACTACTACTTAACAGAAAATAAAAAAAAAAAAAAAAAAAAAAATAGAACGATGCGGGCGATGCGAGGGTCACCGAGAGCACACGCATGGTTTTTTTTCAAACGCTCGATCATCCTATAAGTACCTGTAATAGAAGTGCGGAGAGAGATAAAAAAAAGGGGGGGGGGAGAAAGTGGGTTACTCGAACTTTTGGCAACATCCGTACACCGGCATATCCGCAAAAACGTAACGACAATCTGTAATCTGTAATACATGTACATTTACACTTTGGGAGGAGGAGAGGGTGACGTGCCTCTTTTTTAATGATTCATAATATGCACGCTTGCGATATGAGAAACGTATGCGACGTTTCGTGCGTTACTCGAATAATACGCGAGGTACTTGTACGTGCATACTTGAATCAATTTTTTTTTTTCAAGCTTATATTTGGCTTTGTTTTGAACGTGTAAGATTATTTGCAGACTTGGGCACGGTTGTTTTACGGATTTGTAAACACTGACAAAAATTATTTTTTTAAAGTGCATTGTTCTTGCTAAACAAAATTTTTTATTCGTCACTGTTTGCAATACACTATAGAAAAATATTTTTTTACGTATTAGACATTAACCTTTGTTTTGCCTAAATTGTTCTTTCTTTTTAATTGTAAATACGTTACTTTTGTTGGGAAAAAATTTATTGAGTACTGTGTTATACAAGCACTGTTGAAACACAGCTTTTTAAGCACGAGTCTGAGCTACATTTTTAGCAAAAAATGTATTTAAAAAAAGTTTTAAAAGTATCCATACCCAAATCTGTTAATTTCCTCTTTTTCTTTTCTTTTTTTTTTTTTTGTTTTATTATTGTCAAAGAAAAATCCTGAGGACGCTGAATCCATTAAAATGAAGGAATGAAATATTCATCGATAAGCACGTGTGTCCTGCCGATCTGCGTGCGCGATTGTATAAGAAATAAACTCAGCGAAGATTCTCTGTATAAACTGAGATTAAGTACGTCCACAAAAAATAAAGACACGACGGATAAAAGAAGAAGAAGCAATTCAGTTGCCAGCGATGAGGGGACTTCATTCCGAAATGACGTTGGCGCTCTTCTTATCGCGTTAAAAATGTTGGAAAACAAAAAATTAATTTGTGAGCCAGGTCCTTTCGATTGTTTAAAATTGAGATTGTTGTTTTTTTATCTTTTAAATAATTTTAATTTTCATACCGAGGTTTCAACGGTCATGATTTGTTTATTTATAGTACGAATTTTTTTGTAAATGTATTTCTTAATCATGCACGTTGATAAAACAATGTGATTTAACAACAGTTTAATAGATTATAAAAAAAAAAGAATTCAACTGGACTTAATCGATTTTTTCTGCCTTGATAATTCGCAATGATTAAATGTTCATCAGATTAATCTTTCCACAATGCTGCATTACATGTTTGTTTGGTTTTTTTTTCCAAGTATGCTTCTTTGTAAGCATCAAGATTTTTCTCTTATACTTTGATGTTCCTCTAGCTTTTTGTGATTGAAAGCATGGTTGGGGAATTATCCATTTCAATGAGTAAAAATAAACTGATATACGTTCTTTTTTTATAAATTTGCTAAGGAGAGAAACGTCCAAGATAAAAGGCAATTTTGATAATATGTACAAATGAACGAATTACGGACAACAAAATTTTTTCGTTTCATAGCACTTGACTGTGTCATTGCTACAAGCTACATAATATCATCCTAAATGATTTATGCACGTATTATAGTCAATAAAGATTTAGAAAAGATCGACCAATAGTACGTTGATCCCTGCTCTAATAACTTGCTTAATAGCTATTACTCGTGAGTTAATATGCTGCAAGAGAGCAACACACTATTCAAGACTTGACCCTTGCTTAAACAAAGGAAGTTACAAGCAACAAGTTCTACCCACCTGCCTAATTGAGCAAAACAAAGAGTACGTTAATATGGTCAAACGTAATAAAAGTGTCTTTTGCAGAGGGTTGGCTGAGTACATCCAATTAAGCCTAGATAAAGATAGAGAACGAGATAATGTAAGGAGAGAGAATATGCAAGAAGAAGGAAGACGATAAACAGGTCAATCCAAGAAGAAGGGGGAAACAGGCGGATAGGTAGCAGACAGACAGACAGACAGAAAGATAGAGTTGTGTATCGTGGATCAACGAGAAAAATAAAAGGCGACTAACCGTGATGACTCCATCCTTCATGATGGACTTTCGGCTGCGTATGATCATGCCAACGACCTTCTTGGATACCTTGGCTGGCATGTTGACGCACTGGGCGCAGAGGCTCTTGCGCTTTTTGAGTTTCATTCAAGGCTCCTGTTGATGATCTCGCAGCAGCTGCAGCTCTTCTTCTTCTTCTTCTTCTTCTCCTCTGCCGCGCGTTTTGGCTCACACCAAATCGAAACGCACGCCAAGAAATAAAACACCACACACTCCGGTGTAACTATGCCATTACATTCCAGTTGCCGAGGAAGAGGATGATGCGTGTGGTCAGCAGTTGCCGGAGCTGCTTCTGCTGTCGTTTCGTTGTTGACGACGACAGCGGGCTAGCCGGGCATCGTCAGCATTATTATCCCTGGCGAGCTGTCGTCGCGTCGTCTCGGGCATCGAGCACCACTGGCTACACGACACGCACACCGTGTATACGTAATACCGATCTCACGCTTGAACAATCAGCACCTCCTCGGGTACGTTATTCCCTGCATATACCCAAAAGAATGTCTGTTAACACAACTCTGGCCTCACATCTGCGCGCACTGTGATCAACCAACACACCCGAAACCGTTGACGATGATTTTGTTTTGATGAATAATATTGCGGTGAGGTGGAGGAAGACCTTGGGGTCACCACAGAGAAAATCCCTCCAGGGTGGTGGACTGACGAGCACCTAACCTTGGTTTTCGAAGCTGCGCGCGCGCGAGTATGGTGCTGTGCCAGGGTTGGTGTTGCAGCAGCTGCTCTTTTTGGCCTCCGGTTCGTGATAAGCGGAGGCTGATATCGTTTGATCTACGTCTCTTCCTAGTCCCTCAAAACTCGTTTAGACAACTGTTCGGTGTCCCTATAATTCAAAGGTAATGATAAAATACCTTGATTAATTATTATCGTCCAGGTGTAATTGGACGACAACTACGGCAAGGTTCGAGTGGCGCTACCTGCCTTCCTGCCTATTAATCGACGTGCTTGTTCTTGTTTACGCGACTCCGAAATGCCGAGGTGCTCTGATGGTGAATGTATCATATGTTTGTTTACGCGTGTGCCGTCTGACATCGCGCACCTGTTTCGTACCAGCCAATCGCAGAAGCGTCCCAGTGTCTGCCACGTTTTAATTTCAACCAATGAACGCCTTTGTTGGTGTTGTCATGTACGTTGATTGTATGGTAGACGAATGTGGCGTCGGCGGGGAAATGCGCGGAGAAATGAAAAATGAGGCATAGGTAGGGTAGAACTCCGGAAGCGCAGCCGGTAACTGAGGGTGTAGAAAACGATAAAAACCCCTATATTTTGTGCCATTTTTTTCACTAAGTGATTGTTAACGTTAATGATTTGGAACTTTCTCATTTGATTTTGCTTTTCATTACACATTCAGATCAGACTCTGATTTGAGATTAATTTTTTTTTCTACCCAAACAGCTGTTGAGAAAATGGGATGTGTATATAATGACGGATGCACCCTCTGCACCAAAAATTAAATAGCTTTTTTTTAAATTATTGGCATACTTGCACTTTAAATCCAGTAATTAAGGATCTTTTTTTTTTTAATCGTATTGCTATTTTAATTTTAATTTCACATCCCATGAAATACATGATTAATCGTGAATTTAAAACTTGTAACTCAAAAGCACGTAAAAGTTCAATTATCATGTCGTTAATAGAAAAATAAAAAAATTCTTAATTACATTTTTCATTTAGTTTCGTGCATATTAACTATTATTATTTAGTCCAACAAATATTGAAAAATGTTTTCTGGTAATACAAAAACCTTATTTCCAAAGGCGTTCAATGCAGTTGTTTGCATTAGAAAAGGGTGATTCGCTTTGCACGAGCTTGGATGAAAAATAAAAAAATAAAGAACTCAGTTTTACATTTCATATGATAATAATATATTTATGTGTGTATGGATATATGCGCATACATTCATACACACACCCCCCATTATTTCACATGTGAAAAATCTAAGATTCATACTCTTTGCATTTGCTTATTATTACATTATTTCACATAATTCTCTGAACAGTATTTTTTTTCTTTTTTTTATTATGGTCAACAAATAACAAAGTATATAGGTGATCGAAATGTTTTTTATCACTCACTCTCGCTTGCATTTTTTCGTTAGCTTGAAAAAAAAAAATCTAAAATAAACGTCCATGCAATGTGGGCATGAATTACCGCCGATCAAATATTCGTGAAACAGAAACAATATTTACGAAATTTTGTATCAACAGCACACACAATATATGACAGGGTTTTCAGGACAATTTTGTTTATATTCGCAAATAAAAATATTGCATTACCAAAGTGAGAGAAAATACTAAGCTGCTGCATATACAGTTTAAAAAACCATCAATTTCAGACTGTCGATTGACGCTAAATAATGTTCATGAAAATACAAACGATTCGTCTTTCGGCGTGTGTTGTCTCTCGATTATAAGGGTTTACGAGTTAAATTACATAATAATCGTTTAATTTGCTTATTTTGTCTGTGAGGCACGAAAAAAAGGCTGGACAGTTGCTTCGCGTTATAATCTATTACGTGAAAAACGTATGTAGGTATGGCCTTCTGTTTGAGTATTTTTTGTAAAACTTAAAAAAATAAAACGCAGAAAAAATAAACAGCACATATTTATTATCATTATCTTTGCCTTTCGTCTCACATTGATACAAAACTTTTGGAGACGTAAGTAGCTTTCATTTATGTTGGGTAAAAGCAAAAGGACAGTTCTATTTTTCTGTTACTCGCATTATTTACACATTTATAGAAATCAAAATATACTTACAAATCACTTGGGTAAATTGATAGATATGAAAAATTTATTTAAGAAAACTTGAACTTTAAAATACCTTAGAAAAAATGTTTTTGTTTTTCTTTTCTAAAAAAGAAATTAATAATTATTTTTATTTATATACAAATTTTATACTTGAAAAATCTGTAAATTCGTATGATGAATATTTTAATATTTTTACGAAATACTTTATCGTTATTATACATTCGAGATAACATCGTCGTTATGTTAATGTTGTATACAATTGCAAACCCAATGAATGGGAAGAAGTTACCTTCTTCATTTTTTTTTAATGTCATGGCAAATAAAGATTTCTAGGGTTGAAATTAGTATTTTAGCGGACGTATTTTTGATATCCATATTATATGATTTTTTTTTTGTAAAAACAGTCGCCTTGAATCGTTTTTTTAATAGTGGTTATTTAAATGATACTATTTTTCTCGAATATATTTCTTGTAAAATTTATCGTACCATGTAAAAAAAGTATAATTAAAGGTGGTAGAAAGACATGATGGTCAGAGGTTTTTTTTTTTTTTTTTTTTTTTTTCAAATCCAAGATTTCCAAAAGTTCTTACGCGTGCGTAAATATGTACAACTTACATCAATGCTAAAACTCTCGTATTCGTAATTGATTTTGTTTTACTTATAAAAGAAGCTCCCGTTAATCGCTATACTATGTAAAAATCGTGTTTTCTCTAATATCGTAAACAATCTGTACATAAATTTTATATGAATTATTTATATATGGTTGTATAAAATTGCGTCTAAGTACATACAAAAATTGGTTTATTGAAAAATTCGATCTTTTAAAACATAAAAAGAAAGTCGAGGAAAAAAAAATGTGTAACATTAAAAAATTTTCGTATGTATTTAGCAGTACGTATCAATCATACACAGGCTTGCAAGAGTCACTGACAGTTGTTTCGATGGTTAATTCTATGAAATTTAAATAAATCATACAACAATAACATTTCGCACATGGATAAAAAAAAATCAATTTTAAAACAATACATTAACATGATTAAAAGCGTAATATAACAAAACATTTGATAAAAAATACTTAAAAATATTTAAAAATTCCATCAATAACTCTCCTACCTAGGCACGAAGACGCGCATATAATTCACATCTGATTTATGTACGACAAAAATCAACTGTCCATCCTAACAGGTTTCTTATTCTCACGCTCATGGGCTCTCTGGACTCAAATCCTTGTCCCCTTCGCCATCACCTTCTTCTCTCGTCATGCCTTCGATGGGCGCGCGGGGTTGCGACTCACCGTCATCCGCTGTGATGTCGTTATCGTTATCTATTGACTGATTAATGTCATTTTGTTGTGACTGCTGGCCCGATATTGCGTTCTGTGAGGGACCGTTTTGAGGGGCACACTGAGGAAAGCCGGTTTCTCCTGATACCAGATGCGACGGTAGATGCGGCGAGACTGACTGTGATTTTCTGCTCTTTTCGCCCTTTCGCCATAATGTTATTTCCTTTTAAAAACAATATGATCGTCGATATAATGTAAGTATTTTGCTTCACAAGTGGGATTCAGGGAGTATATTGTAGAAACAAACCTGTTGTTTGAAATATCGTCGGTCTTCCTCGTCCATGAGGACCAAATTCAGGTAATATCTGACGCTAAATTTCTTATTGATATCCCGCATTGTGGGAGCTAGATCGTAGCCTGCTAGAAATACCCTGATAGGGATGGATTCACCCTTCACTGGCGCACCGTCCATTATTTCGTATTTAGCTATTGTCTCGTTTTCCGTAAACGTGTGCGGCCCTGGAAAAATGTAATCAGATCAGAAAAAAAAAAAAAAAATGGTGGGCTTTGTCCTTTACTGATGGAATATTCATTTACTTACCAGTACCTGTAGTTTCTCTTTTGATAATTGCTATTTCCATGTGTTTGATCTTGATTCTAACTAACAAAAAGTAAATTTTTCCAACAATCACATCTTTCAAGTGATATCTGAAACGTAACACCAGGTTTTAGTTTGTTACTTTTTAATTAGATTTTTTTATCACTTGGACATTAACAGCACTCACTTGCTTTTGTTGTACTCAAATTCTATATGCAGGCAGTCTTCGATGCCAACCTCCATCTTGATTGGATTGTTCATGTCTGGATAGGAACTAAGGGTATGTACAACAAGCTCAAGCTCCTTAACAATGTCACTGATTCTCCTGACGATTGTCACCTTGAGAAAGTACCGCAGTCTAACATTCGAGCCTGTGTAACTCTCAAAAGGCTTTTCCACATTTGCAAACTCAAATTCGTACGTTGTGTTGTGAGTCAATTCACCCGGCCTTGCCAGCTCCTTCACTAAACTTGTAAACTCATGATGATTGCCTCTGTCGTAGTACAGTTCTATTTGTCCGATAAACTCTACTTTGACTCCTTGGTGTTCCAATTTGCCAGCTTTCCTCAAACTTATGTTTATCTAAAATTCATAACTCATGTAAAATATCAGGATTTTAAAAATGTCTTTTGATAATTATTTCAAAGAGCTCAAAAAAAAAAAAAAAAAAAAAAAAAAAAAAGAAAAAGAAAAAGAAAAATAGTAATATCAATCGCATCGATTGTGTTTGAGAAACAAAAATTATCGTTCATATTACGTGTTGCTCCAAAATACATTTCAGATAAAGCTGCTAACCTTAATAAGAGCTAACAAGTAAATTAACCATCCATCAAAGTACTACATATACATGATAGACCATTCGAGCTGTCTAATCATGACTCAAGCAGCCCGAACACAAAGAAATAAAATAGTTTTACTTCTTTTTCATCACACAAGAAAAACTTGAGGGCAATTTTTGTATATTTTCATTCCTCAAGAGTAAAACTGGGTCCTTGTCACGATTACCCCGCACATATCATCGTCAAATACAATCACACACACACCTTTCCTGATACCGTCTCCCCGTCCAGGTAGAGCAGGTGCCTCTCTTTCTTCCCGTCCTCGGTTTTGATGTCCGCGGTCTTCCTCGAATCCGCGCCATCGAGGAGTATCTCAATATCCGCGGACTGTCCGAATCCAAAGAAACTCTGTACGAACGAAACATTCATTATGAAACTTACCACCAGACTTGGGGGGGAAAAAAAAAGCAGGTGCAAAGTAAAGGCTTACCATTTTTTAGATTCTCAAAAGATACAGGCAACAGCAGCAGCAGAGCAGCAGCAGGAGGATGGAGGTGGAGGATGAGGAAGAGGAGGCGTGAATCGCGTATCTCTTCTCGGCACAGGCGGCTTCTTTTCGCGCATATGCAATATCCGCGTAACTGCGTTGGGGAGTTGGCTGCAGCCTCTTTTTTATGTATTAAAAGGTCCACGTCAAGCACCACCTCCACGGCATAATTGTCATAGGTACTCACTGTTATGTATTACCGCAACAAAATTTGCCAGACCCACGGGGGTACATATACACACACTCCCCACACTATATATATTGCCACTATTATATATTATATACACTGATGTGTACTGATGATTGAATCGAAGTATATACGCACTGTATTCGATTGTATACTTACACCCACGTACGCGAGAGCACTAAATATCACATCTATACGATTTTATACGATTCTCGCCTGCAATTTGCAATATTATTAGACCAACCGAGAAACTTCTGAATTAGAAACTTGTTGGAGAAGAAGGCGTTTTTCGATATTTTATGTAATTTGACCCGCTGATTACGATAAAAATAAATAAAAATTTTTTCGAGTGGTGGATCAATGTTAAAATCGCATTTGAAATTTTATTTCGCTCATATCTCAGTAACGGTAAGAGCTATAGTAAAAATATAAATAACAGCGTATAGAGCGAAAAATTTCCTATCGATTTGGTCTATTTGAATCATTTAGACAAGCACAAAATTTCGAGAAAAAAAATTGTAAAGAAGATTTTGTACTTAACTTGTAAGAGTAAGTGAGACAGAGAGAGCGACCGAGTCCCCTGCACCCAGCAGTGTCTCCCATCACTATTCCACCGACAGTATAGCAGCGACGAAGGAGAGAGAGAACCAGAGATGATAATGTGAGTGTAAGTGTGGCTGCTGCACACGTGCACACACGGCAACACGGCTTATCTAACGGTGAAGCACCAACTCACTCAATCCACTGAAATATCGTTTGAAGCTTCTTGTATCCTTACTTATACAGATTTTTTAGACGACCGGCTCACACGATTCTACCGCGTTGAAATATCTGATTTGGGTGATATCGAAAGATGAAATACGACACCTTCTTGTGACCAGCCTGAAAAATATTTCGTTCAAGCATATAATAAGAATAGTAGTTTTCCTACGAGTTTGAAAAGTCTCTGTTTGCGAACCGAGAGGTTTGCGGCCCGAGCCGAAGGCGAGGGATGTAACCTCGGATGTAACGAGGTTCGTAAAGGAGACTTTTCGAACGAGTTCCGGAAAACTGCTTTTTCGCCCAAGGAGGTACCAGCCTCCCAAAACCACCCGAGGGCGGAAAAGTATTTTTAAGCATATTATATACTTGACTGATTATGATTCAACATGTATGGCTCATTTTTCGAAAAACTTAATTTTCCTTGGTCTAAGAAATTGTACCGCCATTACTTGTGATTTGATTTGAAAAAATTGTTAACATTATAAAAAGTAATTACAACAAATATTGGATTATGAAAAGCTACTGTTTGACTTTTAAATATAGAAAAGGGGATAATTAACAGTACGGGCTTCTATCTTACTCGGAAATTTTGAGTTTCCATGACACCTAGGATGAAAATATGGATATGTCATTTGTTTATGGCTTGAAATTTAAAATTCATTAACGTAAGAAACATTTTTATGCAATTTAGAAAACCTAGAAAAAATTTTATCCAAGACTTGGATAATTTTTAACTAGTGGGACCAGGCCATACACTTATTCTTCTACTTATAGCTCTCGACGTGAGCAGAGCTAAAGTCCTACTGTACATAACGAATAAAAGCCATTTTGTATTTTTATAATAAAATTTGTCGCGTGTACTTATTTTCCCTCGTGCTCCTTTTCTTGTGGAAGCACAGCTTTGGCTGTGCAGAACAATACTTCCCACATGTTTACCTTTGATAAAGAAATAATAATAACAATAAATGAACGACCGAACGGGGAAGGCACACACAGGTACTTACATACCTCTCTCTCGGCTATCTTTGCCCATACCTACAAGTGGTTTATGCGCTTACTGCTGCCAATATGGCTGGTCGTATATACTTAAAACCAAATAATATTCTTTGAAAGTGAAACAATGATGTAGGCATATTTCTAAGCTTGGCTCAAGATATTTGTGGNTTATTTGTTATCTTTACAATTCGATTAAATTTTTAAGATATTATGGGACAAACAATTCATATAAAAGTACCGGATCTGAAAAAGCATTTCTATTTTTCTAATGACCTATAAGCAGTGCGCCACCAAAAATTTTGACGTGGGCTCATTTAAAACAGAGCACACAAAATACACATAAGTATTATGTATTTCGAAGGTATTTATAGATGTGACATATGGATAAATCTCTCCACTCGTACGCAAATAAACAAATTTAAGTATTAAGTAGAAGTATGCGCGCCTGTAATGATTGTACAAAGGTAGGTGTTTAATCTCTGGTTAGAATGTATATGCAGAGTATACGCAATAGTTAGTTGACAAGAGAAAGTTAATTAACATAAGTATGCGAAAGAGCGCGAGTGCAAAATAACTTGCGAAAAAAAAAGTGTATGACGTCTTCTGCCGCTGATGCTCTCTCTGCAATGTTACCATTTGAAATGAAAAATCATGCAGCAAGAAAATCATTCTACAACTACAGAGTTAAGGCAAATTAATTTTGAACTACTTATCATATCGTACAGTATTTTTGAGTTTGGATGAACATAATATGAACCATACACTTTTGAATTTCTAATGAATGTAAAGCAAATTAAAAAAGCACATTCAGTTCGCGTCATAAATGTGTGTGATGTCGGTAAGTTCTCGAATCAGGATTAACAAATAGCTATATAAAATACGGTCTCTCCTCTCGTGAATAGCGACACCACTGCACGTTTTGTAATATCTACTCTCTCAACATATGTGCGCAGCGCTGTCCCACATCCCATATGTATATACATACTTATCTTATCCCCGATCCCCGCTAATTGTGCTCACGCGTATTTCACATGCGGTTGCTCGATCGCCGTTTATCGAGCGTAGATTGAGCTCTTTTGAGCGGACGAGAGAGCGCCCTATGCATAGAAAGGTTTTTTTTTTATGGAATCATACGCTATTTATAATAACTGAATGATAATTTATCGCCAAAGAGATAAAATTAGTAGATTGAAAAAGCTTGAAAACTTTTGCGTTTCAAAAAACTTCTTTTATTGTAAATAGTGTTTTGAACTATGAATATAGTTTTATAGTAATGATGATAATAAGAAACTTAATGATAACGAGCGTGTAACATTTCGATTTTAAAAATGCTTCATACCTGAAACTTATCACAATCGAAAAACTAAGCAACGTAATTATGTACAACGAGGCAACTCTTACAAAATACTCGACGGAGTTGTAATTAGTATAAAAACTCATTGATATTTGTGCTTATTTTTTTTTTTGAGCAAGCGTGGAAAGCACTAATAATACTTTTTGATTTTTTCGCAAAACTAGCACCCTTCTCAATATCGTAATAGCAATAAATATTTACAATCTTAAAACTCACTTTTTTAAACAAAGCAAATTGCAACACTCGTATTACTAAACTATATACAATAAACCGAATCGACTTTTATTTTTTAGGCAAATCAGATGCAATGGTTGTAAAAGAACAATAACACGATACTTACATAATAAGAGATAATCAGTTATCAGAGCATTGGTATGTAGTAGGTTAATAAAATAATTTTTTTTTCTTCTCAGTATTTACCAGGATTTTGGTCGTTCGCGAAAACGGCAAGAATTTGATCGATTGATAAATACCGAGCAGGAGATGCAAATCTCTTCGAAGTTACTGGGTTGGCGCCAAACGTGCATCGCCAGCGAAACATTTCGTTTAGCTTATTGCAGGAAAGTTGTACGAATGGCTACCAATTTTTTTTTTTATGGCAAGATAATTAAAGCTCTTATTGATTACTTTACTAATAATCTCACTTCATCTGACGGCTTGATTCATACACATATAAACCTTCCGAATTCGACTATTGAAAAAGATAAACAATCTCACCAAGTTTCTTCCACCTCATTTCCCAGCAATGGGAATATATAGAGAATAAAAATTTTGTGAAACAGAATGATCTGTTGAAATATTTTTACTTCTTCGCGATGAGATCATAACGGTGATTGATGTTGAGCGCGTGCAGAAATTGCATTAGATGGGGCTGATAGCCGCAGTTGGCAAGTTTTTCGGCTACATGGGCCAGGTAGTGTCGCTGCTCGCAAAACGCCATGTACATGCGCTCGATTTCCTTGTAGTTTGGCTTGAACGACGGTTTCGACTCGTCGGTCCAGTTTTGCGATCTTATACGGTTGTGGAACTTTAAAACGATTTTGAAAATGTTGTACAAACAGGTGCGCATCGGTTCTCCCCTTACATTCAGCATACATCTGAAAAACAAAAAGTATACTTCAGTTAAATAACGTACAAAAAGATGAAGAATCAGTACTTAAAAAAAAATATTTTTGCACAATTAATTAGAAATTAAGAAATAATATACGGTCAATACGGTCATTCAGAATTATTTCATCAGCTTTTCAATAAAAAAGTAATTGCACTGATGTGGCCCCAAGAGCATATCTATTTATTTTAGATTGATCGATCGACTTGCCTCGACAAAATCTTCCTTATATAACGAACGTGCGTGTTATAAACGTCGTCGAGAGTCTTGGCGTTTTCGAGCTCGTGTTCAAACTCCGACCAGCTGGCGTGTAAAACGCTACAGGTCAAGTAAGTGTGTAGCGCATTCATGAATTGCATCATGGAGTGTCGGTACAGTTGCAGCTATAAATAGATTTAACAAAAAAGAATGTAAGCATCTCCGATCGTCATTTATAGACAAATACTATACATTTTTTTCGACTAGAAAAAAAACGAAGGATTGCTAACCTTGTGATGGTTCTGCGAAACAGAGGCTTTTCTGGCGATCTTCAGGATTTGGAAATCCTCTTGCAGGGCCCAGAATACGCGCCCAACCATCAATAGGAATTTGAATACTTTACTGTATTGTTCCATCAAGATATCGTTGAATATTATGTTTAGAGGCCACGAGATTTTGTAGTTTAAGGATAGACAGCCGAGTATCTCTGGATTCGACGTCTAAGTAAAAGAAAACACACGAAACGATCAAAAATACGTTTTAAATTATAATTTCAAACCACTGACGTCTTTATTTTACCTGCAAATAAGGGGGTACTTCGGTAACTGATATGCTGAGAAGTTCCGAGTTGGCGTATGTACCACTTAACGAACTCACTATCGCTTTTTCCAAAATGTTCATCAGAACCGACGGATTGAAAAGTTCAGTTGGCTCAGAAATCTCGTACAACCGCGTAAACAACGAGTGAGTTAGTGTTTTGGCGAATTCGCCGTTCAATAAAAAAAAGTAGCTCCTCAGGCTTTGTAGGTGGGATAGTATTTTGTGCTCGGTTAAAAAGTACTGAAATAATTAAAACAACATGAGATCTGATGCATCAGGAAGAGTAAATTTTAATGGATAATAAGAGATTGATGTACCTTGATTATTGCATTATTGACAAGCCGACTCTGTGCCCTTAAAGGCACAAGGACGGACTTTTCCAGATACACTTGCAAGGACGTCGTGTCGATCATCTCGACATCTGCAGCGGTGAGCTGTTGCTGCTGATGGTGGTTTTCATTGGCCGGTATATTAAGTAAAGAGCCAAATCCAAAGAAATTGGGAAACGAGGGGGTATCTTGGACGAACTTGGAGTTGTGGCTCAGCTGCGAGGTAACTTCATCTGTGGACATGCCATCCGACGATCTAGCGCACATCATGTCGCAGTTATTGGCGTACTCGGAGAAGGGCGTGTTTTCGCAGCTATGGACCTGCATTGAACTACTGTGCGTGGAGGTGGTGAAGTGATCCGTTGTCGTCGACATTGGGGTTTCTTTTTGACATTCAGGCTCGGGAAACCGGTTGATATCAAAGTCATAGCGGTCAACGTTGTGAGCCATGTTACGGTTTCGATTGCGCTGCCAGTCGGTCAAAGTTTCTGCAGGTGGTTTCGTAAGAGACTCGGAGACGTCTTCCGGAGACATTACCCTATTCCTGTTGACCTCGGACTCCGTTAACGACTGCTTGTTCGATGTTTCTTTTTTTGTTTGCGTGTTGTTGTAGTTGAAATCAGTCAGATGCTGCGTATTTCTTAATCTGTTTCGTTCAATCTCTGTCTGCTTTTTCAATACGTATTCTACATCTTCCTTGGTACCTTCGCTGTCTACGACGTCGTTCCAATTTAAGTGCGTCAAGTGTTGTGTATTCCTAATCCTGTTCCTTTGGATCTCCGTCTGCTCTTCCGACGAGTGTTCTACAACTTCCTTTGTATCTTTGCTGTCTACATCGTTCCAATTTAAGTGCGTCAAGTGCTGTGTATTTCTCAGCCTATTCTGATGGATCTCTGTCAGCTCTGACTGATTGTCGGTGTTTCCTAAGGCGAATAGTATAGTTGAAGACTCGTTATTGTTTGGCGTGAATCCGTACGCCTGCTGGAGAATCTTAAACTTGTTCCTCTGAGCCTCTGTCATGTTATCTATTTCTCCCAGCCTCAATAAATCCAATGTTGAATGATCCAGGATTTTAGTTTTTTCGTTTTGGAGACTGTCAAGTGCATCACTTCCGTATCTTTGAGTATTTACCTTTGTAATGTCGAGCACTGTTGGTCTGACCGCTTTCGTAGTCGCAGGACGTTCGCTATCGTTGCTCTGACGTTGTTGCTCCTGCATGCTGACGCAGTTTTGATTTTCATCATCGAGAGGCCTAATATTTTGATTGTCGTCTTTCTCGAAATTGGCGTTTTGATTATTTAAAGACGAGTCATCTACTTTGGCAGAGGTAGGATTGTAATTTTCATCTCTACTCGATGATTCTGCATTTTCATTTGTGGTAGGAACGGTGATAACGACGCTTTCGGTATCTGTGCTTTCATGTTTCTCCGCATTAATGTCGCTTGTATACTTTTCATGCACTTTTACGGGCTCTTTTTCACGAGTGTCTAAAAACTCGTCGGTATTCGAGGTACCCTCGAATTCTCTCTTCATATTATGAATGACTTCCATCCTTTCATCGAATAATTCCATCCTTTTTGTGCGCCATTTTGCACGTATTTTACGTTTTTCAACTTCCTCTGCCAACTCGCTGTAGTACTTGGCAGTCTTTAGTCTAAAATAAAATACTTAAATACAAATACACATCGGTCGTACAAATAACACAAATTTTTAGATCTACCTCTCCGCCTCTTCTAGCTTTCTTGCTTCTTCCTCGTGTTTTTTAATTTGTTCCAACAAAAGTTTATCCGCGAGCAGTTCTGCATCCCGTTCCTTTTCTTTTCTCTCGGTCACTTCCTGGGCTTGAATTTTTAATTGCTCCAATAGTTCAATTTTTTCCTTCCTAACTTTTTTAAGCGAGTTTTCCCGTTCCTCTGCGAAACGGAAATAAACGAAATGACAATAAAAATACAGAAATGTTTCATATTTAAATTAATTTTGAACAAACTTTTTAATCTGTGTAATGTATCCCGCTGTGCAGCAATCACAAGCTCAGCTCTGTTTTTTTCAGCTTCCTTTTGCTGTTGAATAGCAGTGCACATAGACACCTCCTTCTCTTGTTCCAGTTCACCTCTAATTGTGTATTCCTCGTAAAACTTGATCTGGTCTCTCAACATACCCATACTTAAACACACTCTGATCTCCGATTGACTCGAGCTTGACAATCGGCAGAGCGGATTTTTCGGATCACAGATTTTCAGTAACATTACGGCTTTACCGCATTGCAAAATTGAGTCAGTGAGATCCGACAAGAAGCCAGGCACTGATTTTTTATTTATGCTAAAAGCTTTGGTCCAGAAATGGTAGCCACGATTTCGAACGTATTTAGGCCTCGCAGTGATCATGAACTCGTCGTAGATATCTGAGCAAATACCCTCAAAAATCCAACGTTGTAGTAATCTAAAAACGATAAATTATTGTCATGCATTGGAAATAAGTTTTCGATGCTTAACGTGTTTGTTACTTACCGAAAATAGACTTCGCAGCATTCCTTTAAAATTGAATAAAATACCAGAGCAACATTTTGCTCCGTAACCTTTGTTACTTCTTTGTAAATGTGCGTTAAAATACCGATACCTTCGTCCAGCGAAGTGACTCTTTGGCTATCACAACGGCATAACTGTGCCACTTTTAAAATCAAATTACCAAGTGGTCTGATTTTATTTAAAAAATTTAACAGTCCTTTATTTTTAATTTCTGCAATGGAAACTTTAAGAACAGCAGAGTGGTAGAACAATAGAAATTCTTTGATACTACTGCATAGTGCCTTAAAAATTAATCCTTCTATTTGCAATTTACCGGTTTGGGGATCAATAACTATGAGATCCGAAAGATTTTTAAAACAAGTACCCCAGCGTGTCACTTCTCCACAAAGATTTTGTAGGGTTTCTGAGCACATGCCATTTGTAACTATACCATTTCTTAACTCAAAGCCTCGCTGAAAAAAATATAATATTACTTGCACGTATAAAAAATAATCATTTGATTTGTGTGCTGGTACTTACCGCGTAGTTGTAGATAAAGGTAGTTGTTTCAACACCGAGTAACAATAGCTCAATATCCTTTATGAATTTTGTACTAGAAACATTGATTATTGGAGAGTTTAATGTGCTCTGTAATTAAAAAGAAATTGAAATTTGTTTCAAAAAAATTTGAACAAAGTATGTTAACTTTGAGGTAAATATGTATTACTGGATTCAGCAGTATATCTTGTGCAACGTTATTCAAATGGATTGTAGCCTCAACGGATTCTGATGCAAACGGCGGTTCTTTAGGAGGTTCAGAGAGACCTAAAGTCTCCCAAGTGGCATGATTTGTAAGTGGAGAAGTTTTGTCCATTTGTTCCCATATTTTACCAATATTTACTAACCGTTCCTCTGTCTCATTTTCTTCTATTTCACAAATTTCAGTATTATTTGCTTGGTTACTCTTAACAAGTGACTCCAAAGGATCAATCACCTGCCATGGGGACTCTGGTTCAGTTACGATACCTTCGATACAGGGTTGAAGATAGTCTTCCGGCGTTTCTATATCCTACAAAAAAATTTTTGCAAAATAAGTAATACAGTCGTTCATTTTAACTGATTCACTTTACCTTTATTTGAGGTAAAAAATAAGAACCGAATTTTAAATTCATCCCCCTTGGAAGGTAGGTTGTGCGGTGTGCTACGTTTAAGTTAATAATATCATTGGACCTGAAAAAAAAATCGTTATCTTACAATGACAACGTTAAAGACGTACAACTATAATAAGTAGGATATTGAAAAATAATTTCACCTGATACTTTTACTATTGATTGGAAATGTGAACCTTCCAAGCAGAGTCAGCTGGCTTCCAGGCTCAACAGAATTGTACTTGACAAAACCGTCTTTTTCTTGATTCAACAAATCCTGAAAAGACTGAGGCAAGTGAAATGCCTCTGCTGGATAAATTTGATATTCACTGTACACTTCAGGAAGCGATGGATGCGGTTTATCATAGTGAAATACATCCTAAGCACACACATACACGAAATAAACATCATTTAAAAAACATATTTTTTTTTATCCGAAGTATATGTATAATATGAATATCTCGTTGGTGAGTACCAAAGAATCGTCGTCACTGTCATTTTTGATGGACTTGAGACAGTTGAGAAACTGCAAGATAGAATAGATTGTCGAGTCTTGCTCCAGACCTTGGTTTATAAACTCGTCCAAGTACTTTTGCAACTCTACTGCTTGGGAAAAACAGCCAGCCTCCGTGTTGAGGACAAACACATGTTTCAGCAACTCGACTATCGGATCGCGCTCTGTGTCATCGTATCCTAAAACAAAAACAATTGAAGTAGAGCGAAATATGTAAGAAAAAGAACAACCACAAGGGGTGAAAGCAATGTTTACCATAATCCTGGGGCGACTTGTTCAGTAGAATCTCGTAGGCTTTGACCTTGAGTCTCCGGAGTTGCTTGCCATCGTCCTCCTCCCGGGACAAATAGGACTGGTGCTCGTCCTGATAAGCAACCGAGTGCTTCCTCCGAAATATACTCTCGCAGAGCTTACCGACCAGTCCGTAAACATCGTTGTCTTGAACTTCCAACTCCATTTAGAACGAGTTCATTATATTCGCTTAAGAACACTAGTCTTCTGGTAACCCGCACTAGATTCCGATGGATTAACAAGAATTAAGGCATTTGTTCAAAAGATACGTGGGGGAGAGAGTTGGTTGTCAAGCTAAAAGGGTGCTTTTTTTAAGGGTTTTACACTTTTTCTCCGTGCCAAACTCAGTGATGTTTTTTATTTGCATTGACGTCTTCGTCGTGTACTCTGCAGGTTAAGCTGGGGTCAGGTTAGGTTAAATAAGGGCGCGAGCGCTCAACTGATTTTGATTTTTTGACTGAGTATTTTCATTAAAAAAAAGCAATAAATGACGTAATCGCTAAAATAAAAAATTTTAAGCTAATTTAAATTTATAGTTTAGATATTCACCTCTAACTATAATATTACCATGACAATAAAACTCTCCAGATCTAAAATCTGTTTGTTTAACATTACGTATCGGGAGCACTGCACTGCCTTGAAATGATGGTAGTTGCATCTCCGACCGCGTGGCGGCACTTGGTGCAAAAATCCAGGAATATCGTGCTTCGGAGTTCCCGCAAGTGGCGAAAAAGGTGTTTGGTTAGTATATATAGCCGAAACTTGATTCTTCGGCCAGAGATATGTGCTCTGGCTCTGACCCGCCCACGTGAACGAACGGGTTTGAAAGGTATTCTACGATGTAGTAGCCCACCCCTCAGGTAAGTGAGGTAAGTGAGGTAAGTGGTGAGCGATGGGTGGCTCTTGCCAGAGTATCATATTTTTTGTTTTTATTTATACAATTGTATTAAAAATAAATGTACACTGCCTTTTATTATTGCATTTTCCCAAAATTCCTCTTTTTTATTTACCTCGTCTTATATATATATTTTAATTTTTTTTCAAATATTTTCAATGTATTGTTTTATCACTTACATTTGATTCTTTTCAAATACTTTGCACTTTTTTTAAAATAACGGAAGTCCAGAATATGTTGAATTGTGTACGTATTTTTTTTTTCCAAAAAAATTTTCTATTATTTTTTTCGTGGTCCCCCCAAGCTCCCCTCACTGTCATTAAGGACCCCCACCGCTACCCCCCTGCCCTATATCGAGAGCCCTGCAGCAGCTTCAGCATCCGCCATCCCCCGTAAAATTAGGAAAATTTTCGTAGGTTCGTTCGTTTTTTTACCTTACAATATTTTCGATAACTCCATAAAATACGTGATTAAAAAAACAAAAACAAACAACACTAATCAAGTAATTTAGTAATCTGATCGTTTATTATAAAAGTTGTTTTTTATTTTAGATATAATAATAATTCATTTGAATGGCTATGATACATTTGCTCATTATTTTGCAATTTCTTGAAAAATCATGTCGTGTACAACCTATTTCTTTTTTTTTGTACAATGGTAATTGTTGAATATGTCTGTATATTTTTCATCAGTCATTATGATTTTCAATAGAAAGTCGTAAAATGTCATATTTTTTTAGCCATTGTCTTTTAAATACGTTCACGAAGTAATAACGTAAATAATGCAATTTTTCTCTAAAAAAACAAAAAAAAAAAAAACCGCAAGAATAAATTTTATTTAAAAAAAAGTCTGAATCATTGTGCAACAACAATATTTTAACTTCAATTATTTTTAACTAAACCGCAACATCAAAATATTAACACACGTTACAATTTACATGCTTGCTGTGATTATTGATGTAACTTTTTTCACAATGTGTGTACTTTCACATCGATTTGCACAAACATCCCTTCTTTGGTTTAGCGTTTTGATAAAAGATTACGTGTAATCGCACAATTAACTTTACTTTGACAGCTATACAGTAAGTACATTAAGCTCTTAACATGATACATATAAAGAGCTTGAGAAAAAAAGGAGGGAGCTTTATTTTATACATTACCTAAAATTTCACCTGATGGGGGTTCGGGGCGCTGAGCAATGACATAAATATATATACTTATGTTTCATCGATCTCGTGCACACCTATACGGTCGCCTAGGCGACTCCGATCGGACAACAACAGCAAACATATGCTAAGTCGAGCAAAGTAGGCACATCACAGGTAAGTAAACATCATATTATTTACTTCCATAACGCAAAATGTAGCTCGTTGATCACTTGGGTCGCAGAACGAATCCAGTGGTATACTGCCAGCAAGTGGATTATGCCGAGGCAGTCATGCAGCTCAAGTACTTGGGCTCGATCTTACCGGCACACGTAAGTACTTTTTTTTTTTTTTTTTCTCTTTACCCGTTACACACACTTTTGCAATCCAACCGAAGATCGGAAAGTAGAAAAAGTTCGAGTGATACCATCTTTATTGAAAACGAAAACAACAAATTCTTTGCCCCATACACGATTGAATTAAAGAACTTTGTTGTGTTTAAAAAAAAAAAAAAAAAAACAAGGACTTTGAAAACCGAGTGGCGTCGATCGCGTGGTCGCCGAACAATTTGAAGTTGGCCGTTGCGTCGACCGACCGGTCCATCAGTTTGTTCGACGACAAGGGCGCGAAAAAGGACCGCTTCTCCACCAAACCGGTAGACTCCAAGGTAATCCATACAATATAGCTATTATTGTTATCCATAATTTTACATATTTCTTGCTCCTTAGAACGGGAAAAAGAGCTACGTGATAAAGGGTATCGCGTTCTCGCCAGAGTCGACGAAAATCGCCGTCGGCCAGACCGACAACATCGTCTACGTCTACAAGATCGGCGAGGAATGGTAAGACAAAAAAGCATCTCCCATTCAGTCCAAGAACCGCAATTAAAAAACAAAAAAAAAAAAAAAAAACCAGGGGCGCGAAGAAGGTGATTTGCAACAAGTTCCCGCAGAGCTCGGCCGTCACTTGTCTCGCCTGGCCCACCGAGGGCCCCATCATAGTCGGCCTGGCGGATGGCAAAGTTCGCGCCGCCGTCGTCAAGGCCAACAAGGCCCAGACCCTCTACGCCGCTGACTCGATGACCCTCGCCCTAGCCACCAAGTATTTATATACTTTTTCGTCCAACTCCCCCCCCCCCCATAGCAGTGCAGTACATAAAAAACCGGCTCTTTCAGCGCGCGTGGCACGGGGTTCCTCTCGTCCCACGCCGACGGCAGCATAATTCGGTACTACGTGGCCGAGGACGGCGCGGCCGAGGCCTCGGGGCGTATATTGAAGCACCAGGTGCCGGTTTACGCCCTCGGCTGGGCACAGTGCCACGTGATGGCCGCGGGGAGCGACAGGCGGTTGGTGTTCTACGACGCGCGGGGCAAGGTCGCCAAGGCCCTGGACTACAGCAAGGAGGACCCATCCGAGAGGGATATTGGGGTCGCCTGCTGCAGCCCGAGCGGACAGAGCGTCGCCGTCGGCTCCTGGAACAAGGTATACACCGCTTCTCTGCTGATGGGGGTTGAGCTGAATCCTGGTGGTCTACTTTTGTCTTTCTATGCCGACAGATACGTGTTTTCGACTGGAGTCCCAGGAGGAACCTCTGGGAGGAGACGAACTCGCGGGAGCTGCCCAACTTTTACACCGTCACAGCGATGGCCTGGAGGAGGGACGGTACGCGTGGATTAAACACTCCGAGGTGTGGATGAGTCGGCTGATGTTGGGGTGTTTTGATGCAGGTTCGAGGCTGGTGGTGGGCAGCCTGTGCGGTGCGGTCGAGCACTTTGAGACGATGCTGAGGCGCACCGTGGTGCGTGGCAGCCACGAGGTGTCGTACGTCGGGCCGAGCCAGGTGGTCATCAGGTCCCTGGAGGGTAAAGGTGGGGGCAGGCCCGTGATCGTCAAGTCGCACGCCGGCAGCGAGATCGAGGACGTGAAGGTGATGGGCCGGAACGGTAGCCGGGTGGTGGCGCGCACCGTCCAGTCCTTGATTGTCTGCGACATCGAGCGCAACCTGCTCAGCGAGATACCCTGGGAGCAGGACAGGAGCGACCAGGAGCGCTTCTTCTTCGAGTACCCGGGCGTGTGTTTGGTCTTTTGCGCCGGTGAGCTGACGCTCGTCGAGTACGGGAGAAACGAGGCCTTGGGACTCGTGCGCACCGAGTCGGTCAATCCCCGGGTGGTCAGCGTGAGGATCAACGAGCGCAGGTTGTACGGAGCCCCGGACAACAAGCGGCTCGCCTACCTGCTCGACCCGAGGACCGTGAGGATCGTGGATCTTGTGAACGACGTCACCGTGACGATGATCAGCCACGAGGCGAGAATAGACTGGCTCGAGCTCAGCGAGACCGGGCACAGGCTCCTTTCCAGGGACAAGAGAGCCAGGCTCTGGCTCAGCGACGACGAGGGTACAATGATATTATATACACCAGGTTTAGCGTACAGGAATCCATAAACGATAATTTGCTTGGTCAGGGGGACACCAGCTACTGTTGTCCGGGGTGAGCTACGTAGGCTGGGTGCCAGGGAGCGACGTGGTGGTCGCCCAGTCGGGGGCTAACTTGGTCGTTTGGTACAACATCGACGCGCCGGACGCGTCGACGTTCATCGGCATCAGGGGCGACGTGACCGAAATCGTCCGGGAGAACGGACACACGTCGGTTATGGTTGACGATTCGGGCACCGATGTCGGGTACCAGCTCGACGAGGGTCTCATAGAGTTTGGCACTGCTTTGCACGACAATGACTTTGGCCGCGTGGTTCTGTTCCTGGAGGAGCTCGGCGATCGGCCCCAGACCGAGGCCATGTGGGAGAACGTCGCCAACAACGCCATGAACGAGAGGTCGGTGCTCTTGCAGTCGTATATGTGTATCTCTGAATATCGCTTCCTGAAAAACAAAATAAAAAACCTAATTGTGCTCCATTCGTAGAGCCCTGGCCGTGGCAGCGCGTTGCTACGCGGCACTGGGCGACGTGGCCTGCAGCCGGATGCTCAAGGAGATCGTGGAGATTGGCGAGCGGTACGCCATGGAATCTGGCAACGAGCCCCTGGCCAGTCCCGACTGCTGGGCCAAGCTCGCGGTCCTGCGCGGCGAACTCAAGAGCGCCGAGGCCATCTACCTCGAGCAGAACGAGCTGACCAAGGCGCTCGACATGTACCAGAGGTACTGGCACTGGGAGGAGGCCCTCGTGCTCGCCCAGAACCGCAGGTGGTCCGGCCTCTCGCGGCTCAGGTATCGTTATATACGCCCTGGGTTTTTCGTGGATCACCGATTAACCATGACGAATGTATACAAAGGGACAAGCACCTCGCGTGGCTCATGGATACCGGTCAGATCGCCAAGGCGGCGAGCATCATCGAGTCGGATAACCCGCGAAAGGCCGTCAAGCTGTACCTGGAGGCGCGCCGTCCTGGACGAGCGGCTCGACTGGTCCTCAGTCAGGACGAGCTGGTCGGCGACGAGGACGTCGTGGCCGAGGTGGTGCGCGCCCTCAACGCCGCCGAGCTGGCCGAGCTCGCTGCCGAGATACACGAGCGCACCGGCGACTACCACTCGGCCATCGAGTCCTACGCCAAGGCTGGCATCTTCGCCAGGGCACTGGAACTGGGTACTTGTACAAAAATATATATACCTCAAAGATTCAATTAGCTTACATTGTTGGGTGTTTCATTGAAAGCGAGGAAGCTCGAGCCCAACTCCGTGGTGCGGCTGGAGCGGGAGTGGGGCCACCACCTGATGTCCTCGGGCCACTACGACGCGGCCATCAACCACTTCATCGAGGCGGGCGAGACATCCCTGGCCCTAAAGTCGGCCGTGCTGGCACATCAGTGGCGCAAGGCGCTCCAGATAATCGAGGTGGTCGACCTCGAGGGCGACCCGGAGATGCGGGGTCTGTGCGAGCGGGTGGCCGAGCACTTTGCCTCGGCGCACGATCTCGCCCTGGCGGAGCGGTTGTTCCTGCGCGCGGGTCTGGCTCGTCGGGCGGTCGAGGCGTACGCGTCGGCGCGCAACTGGCAACGCGCCCAGGAGCTGGCGCAGCGCGAGCTCGAGCCCGAGGAGGCCAGGGAGCTGCTGGCCGGGCACGCCGAGGCTTTGAGAAGGGCCGGGGACTACAGACACGCCGAGGCGCTGTACGCGGCTACGGAGCAGCACGAGCAAGCAATCGCCATGTACCGCGAGGCCGGTCACAGGCAGGACATGGTCAGGCTCGTCGGCAAGTACAGGCCGGAACTGCTCAAAGCCACCCACGCCCACCTGGCCAAGGAGCTCGAGGCCGCGGGCAAGCCCAGGGAGGCAGAGGAGCACTTTATCGGGGCGGCGGACTGGAGGGGTGCCGTGGCGGCCTACTGCTCGGCCAAGATGTGGGAGGACGCCATAAGGGTGTCCAAGAAGGCATCTGGCGACAAAGCGGCCCAACAGGTCGCCACCTTTTTTTTTTTTTTTTTTTTTTTTTTTTTTTTTTTATTCCTTCGCGCAAGGATAGCTGAAAAAAACCCTCTGATGTATTATGTGTGTGGTTGTAGGTAGCGTTGATGTGGTCGCGGAGTTTGGCCCCGGAGTTGGGCGCGCGGCTGTTGTCGCGGTTGGGCTACTTGGACGCTTGTCTGCGGATGACGAGCGAGGCGGGTCAGTTTGACTGGGCGCTCGAAGTAGCCAAGTACGGCAGCCCGGAGCAGCAGAGGGACGTGCACTACAGGTACGCGATGGCGCTCGAGGACGAGGGTCGATTCGCCGACGCGGAGCGCGAGTTCCTGAGAGCCGGCAAGGCCATGGAAGCCGTACAGATGTACGTGCACACGCGAGACTGGCAGGCGGCCGAGGACGTCGCGCAGAACCACTGCCCGGAGGGCCTCACCCAGGTGCTCGTCGCCAAAGCCTCGGAAGCCGTCGAAGCGAGGGACTTTGCTGGAGCCGAGTCGCTCCTACTGCGCGCCCACAAGCCCGAGATCATCATTGATCACTACAAGGTGATGTGAACCCGATCGTTGTGGGGCTCCCATACATGGACTCTGTCCCTACAGTCATCGACACACTTGGACATACTTACTCAAAGACTTTTCCCTAAAATATAATACAAGCTTAACAATGTTTTTTTTTTCCCAGTAAAATAATGATGAAAAATAACAATAATAATAATAATAATATACTCAAACTGTGATGATTCTGAACCACAGAACGCCGGCATGTGGTCGGAGGCGATGCGAGTCTGCCGTGAGTACCTCCCGACCCAGGAGGCAGCGCTGCGCCGCGAGATCGGCCAGCACCAGCGCACCGGCAGCGGCAACGGCAGCAGCGACAACCAGCAAGCCGATACCGACACACTCGACGAAGCTCAGCGCTGGCTCGAGGTGGGCGAGGTCCGGACCGCCCTGGAGATCCTCATACGAGAACCCCACGCCAGCAAGGCCTTGCTCCTCCAGGCGGCCGAAATCCTGCTGCAAAGGGCCGAGCCCGAACTCGCGAGCAACCTGGGCGGCGAACTAGGCACGAGATTGACCACCGCCGGGGAGCACGGACTGGCAGCTCAGGTCTTCCTCCAGGCGGACCGGTTCAAGGAGGCGGTCAACGCCCTGGTGGCCTGCGGCGACTGGACCAAGGCGAAGCGCGTCGTACGGGAGCTCGCCCCGGAACTGGGTCCCTACCTCGAGGACCTCTACCGAGAAACGATGATCAGGGAGGGCCAGCTGGAGAACTTGGCGCGCGTCGACGCGGACGCCGCCATCGAGATACTCGCCAAGAACGGACAGTGGGCCCAGGTGTTCGAGATGGCTAGGACCCAGGGTGCCACGGCGCTGCACAAGTACGTGGCCCAGCGGGCAGCGCAGCTCATCAAGGCCGACAGCGTGGCCGAGGCGCTGCAGCTCTACGTGGAGCACGAGGCCCCCACGCTCACCCAAAACTACAACCTGTACTTCCACCTGAGCGAGCGGGTCCTCAACGCGCCCGAGACCAGCGCGGAGTACGCGTACCTCGCCAAACTGAGGGACATCCTGCTGGGCCTCGTCAGGAGCGTCGAAGACCCAACCGTGAGTGTATACCATTAGTTCAATCTCAGTTAACGTTTCGCCACAAAATTCATTTGATCCTACACGTATAGGTGTCGAGCAAGTTTGATAGACTGTTGAAGGCGACCCACTACTCGAGCGTGCGGTGCGCGAGCCGTACGGCCCTGCCGGCTCTCAGCGGCGTCGTGCTCAAGACGTCGGTGGCTCTGCTGCGCTACACCGATGTCCTGTTGGCCGATCGGTGTTACTACGAGGCCGGCATCGAGGCGCGTGACGCCGGTCTTGCCAGCGAGGCCTTTGTCTTTTTGAACCACTTTCTCGACCTCGAGGAGTGCGTCGAGGAGGGCGACGGCAGCGTCTTGGGCACGTACACATGTATGAAATCGTATAAGCATTCAGAGCCTAACCGATCGGTCGTTTTCCCCCGCAGACGTGGACGATCTCAAGCTGACGGATTTCCCGCTCCAAGTGCCGCTGCCGGCGTCGTTGGCTCTGAGCCGGGAGCAGCGAGAGGAGGTGCGCGAGTGGGTGCTCACCGTCTCGGTTGACCAGAAACTCGAGCAGGGCTTGCCTACCGATCAGCGAGGTATCTATGTGGGCTCGTTGACCAGTCACTCGTCGAACGCAGCTCCGCTGGCCGAGTGCGCGCTTACGGGGTACCCGGTGCGGGGCCCGGCGGTGCAGTTCGAGGCCGGCCGGTGCGTCGCGAGGGACGACTGGAACAAGTTTGTCGGCGCGGCCAGGCAGAGCTCCAACGACTCGGCGCTCAACGACGTGCTGCGTTTCGTCAATGATTGGTGCGGCGCCGTGCCGAATTACAGTTTGTTTTAGGTAGGGACAATCGTCGGTGTGTGAAATGACAAGACTCGCTCTTTTCACGGTTACCATGGGTATAGATCAATTTATTAAAAGTCGTACCACCTAATATAAAAACAAACACTTCACTCTCTCGTGGGCGCGTGAGCGTGATTTCTCTGTATAATGTATGTATATAATATATATATATAATCGATTAGCGTGACTCGGCTTACATCTCACGTGGGATCGTCTACTGTACATGTGTGTGTATAACAAATAAAAAAAAGAAAGAAATCACTGTCCAATGCTTAATGCTTATTGAATGGGGAAAAGTAAGACGAAACAGTCTCACGTTCGGCTTGTAATTAGTAACAATAGAAAAAAAAAAACGCACGTAAAGCATTGGTTCGCGATCCTCATGATCAATCGTCAAATTTACAATCGCATCTTACCTAATCAAGTATTATTAATCGAAACTTTGCCGGCGATCGTCTAGATCCGTAGGCATTCGTACATTCTTTTGTTTTCAGTAACATAATACTCTGACAAACTTATTCACTTATGAAAACTGATTGCACACTGGACGTTCTTTGAAACAAAATGTTAAAAGTACTTTTTTTTTTTTTTTCAGTGGAATGGTTTTGTTTAGTTTTTAGCGCAGAATTTTAGATAACAGAATTCATCTTTGTAAACTTTTTTCATTGATGCAATGCTGCTATGGTGTGAAATTATTGTACTATTTTAATTAATAAAACGTGTAAAATCCAACTTTGCAGTGAAATGTGTTATGAAGTTTGAGCATGAAATTAAAGCTAATAAAATTGACAGTTGCTTAGTTTCAAATAATTTTTCATAAATCAACAACAATCTAGTGCATTTACAATACATCAGATAAATGTTAACGTTTTCAAGCAAAAATTTCTTAAGGATTTTTTTTTCATTCCTACAGTCACGTTTGAGATAAAATCATGGTGAAAACCTCCAATACATCTTTGCGTTAAAAACAAGTTTGTACGAGTACAAAAGAGGAAAAAGGTATAGTAACTGCGATATTTAGCGTAATTATATTGATAAGAATTTGGAAAATTTATATCAAGTAGTGCATTTATAAAATGCTTTAAAGCGTTATCTCTTCCGGTTTAGGTATCATGTTCCTGTAAGGATAAAATTTGATACTATGCTTGATTATTAATTTTGTCTGCAATTATTAAAGCTGACTTTGTTTTATTTTTCTACTCGTTTTCAATTTTTTTTTTTTTTTTTTTTTTTTTATGATTTTTTAAATATTATTTTTCACATGCTTGTGATTGTAAGTACGTATTTTATTCAGTTCCCGCTTTGTTACACGTACCCTGACTCATTATACGATTTTGTATTTAAAAATTTTAGAACAATCATTTTCTAAAATATATATTAATCATTTCTTTACTGTACAACCGGTTGAAAATTTTTTTGTCAATTAGTACTACGATTTTGGTAACATTACACATAATAGTGACCAAAACAAAATTGATTAGAATAAAAAACAAGTACGAATAAAATACAAAAATCTTTTTTTTACAAATAATTTTAACAAATTCATCAACACGAACATATATATAGCACATCGTAATTAATTTACAGTACTTTATACAGGTGCAACATATTTTCGAAATAACTCTCAATAACAACACTAATCTGTCACTTTTACTTCAAATTAGATACAACCAGGCAGTACCAATAAACAAAAATACTTTTACCAACAAGCGATGTGTGGAAATAAAAAGCTTACTACTGTTGTGTGATCCTGAAAACCGGACCGACCCTGAGGAAGAACCTCCTCAGCGCAGACCTCAACTCGGGTTTTAGGTCAAAGCACATGATCTCGCATAGCGATGCATAGGCACTTGAAGCGTGCACGGCAAACCTCGCGTCCGTCATCTTTAAAATCCTGGCCAGCAGTAAAAGTAGGATGGGCGTCCAAGCCTCGCGATGAGCCTCGCTCGTCAGCACTAAAAAGTAATCCAGAGCTTCGGCGGCGACCTCGACTAGACGCGACTCGATCTGCTGCCAGCTGGCACGATGCGTCTCGTCGCTGTACATTTTAAAAAGGATTCGCAGGGCGCAGGCTAAAGACTGCGTTTCTTGCTTCAGCAGGTTGGGCTTGACGTTGCCTCGGAAGCCAGCCTTCCACAAGATGTTGCGCTGCTCGTGGTTTGAATTAAAGCTCTTGGCGAAACGATGCGAAGCCAAGAGACAGTCTACCAACTGTAGTAGGTGTGTCGTTGTTAGAGCGCAATACATGCCTTGCTCTTCTTTTTGTTGATCACCGCCTGTATAAAAAAAAAAAAAAAAAAAAAAAAATTCATTTAATCTATGGTAAATAATTTTCAATACGATTATGAAAAACTGAATACCAACCAGTGCCAGCAACATTGATTTCTGATTTGCTATTGAGCATATCAGCCTGAGCCGCAGCCAAATTCTCCTGGTCCTCTTTCCTCGAGGTGGCTGGATAGAAGACGATGTTGTCGATCGTCTGTATTAGTTCGAGTTGAACGACGCATTTGATCAGCAACGCTGCAAATGTTTTAACGCGCGCCGTTTCGGCTACCGAGATGCTTTGACTGCTGTTGCTGCGTTTAAGGATGCCGATATGCGCGTCAGCCTCACCCGTTATCACATCAAGGTCGGACTCCTGAAAGTTAAACTTTTTAATACAAATCATTGGAAAATTAAAAAAAAAAAAACAAAAGAAACGGAGATGACGAGAAAAATTTACTTTGTTGGATTGCGGCCTCCAAGTGAGCAAAGTCGTAGGCAGAGTGCTGGTGAATATTTCGAGCACACACCTCGTAGTTTTGTTCCACGTGTCTTCATTAAACTTGATACCGTTGCTGATTACAAGATTCTCCAGGCAATTTGTTCCTGAACGCGCTAATTGTTCGTTGTCCTGCTGGACACACCAATGTAGCTGTGCATACAATTGTTCGAGCAAAAGTGGCCCCAAAGTGTCATAGAACTGTGAGAATACGTCAACTATCGCGTACAGAGCGTGATTGCACGTAGTCGTCATCCATTCTGCTTTCTGTGAAATTTGTGATTTTTATTTGGATTACTTTGATCGAGAAAAGTTGGAATATGATTATTAACCTAAGTTAGTATTTTGAAAAGAGGGAAATGATTAAGCAGCCCTGCTCGTCAGTCACTTACTCAAGGATGAATCTAAACAAGTCCCGTAACCTTGTGTTATTCAAAACTCAATTAAATTTCTGTTAAAAAAAAAAAAAATCTAAAACACACAGAGCTAGATCTCAATTTTCAGTTTTTGAGAGACTCAAGTTCAAAATGAAAAGGAGTAAAGAAAATTGAAAAAAAATAAAACTAAATAAACAAGTTACGTTGGGCACTGATCCATCCTTTGTTAAATGCTTATCAATCACCTCGGTGTGCTGTTCCGGAAGCTTCATGTTGTCGAAGATTCGGAAGAGCACCTGGAACAGGTCCTTCCACCAGTGCGGCTTAAACGAGGCCCCGTGTGTCTTCATTACGTCAAAGAGGACTGTAAGTGCGCGTGTTCTCACGTCGAGCTTGCAACGACTCACAACGCATGACAGCTCGAATAGTAGCGGAAACCAGCCTCTCACCTTTGAATGACAAAAAAAAAAAAAAATAGTTTCAATTTGAAAACCCGTTTTAGCAGAGATAAAAAGAAGTCTCGAATCGAATAAGTACCCAAGCTCGGTCCTCCTCGGAAACCATGCCATTATCATCCATCATACCCTCGGCGAACAAGTGCGGATTAGCATCAATGTAAGAGGCGCAGGAGCGTATCAGTCTTATAGCTTCCATGCTAATGTCGGGGAACGACACGTTACATGCAAACTCACTCAGGCACTTGACTGCATCCTGGAATGAGTCGGCCATGATGCCAAAGTGTTCCGCGTACAACTCATCTGTAAAGTACAATAAATAATGACATCAAATAAATCTTAATTGACGCTTGTTTCATGGTAAAAGGGATGCTCACTGATAATTTTGCCAGTAGTGGTGAAGGCGAGCTCAACAACTGCTCCATCCCTGTCTCCAGCGGCGTGATGGAAAACACTAAAGATATTCTTCCATCCCGATCGTATATTTGGTTGCGGGCACTGAAGCGCTTGGCACTGCACGATCTGAGTGACACACCTGACTACCATGTCTCGGATGACGGTAGACCGGTTCTTCTTCATAATATGCTCGAACGGCCTGAGAAATTCTTTCTGGAAGCGGAAGTTGGCGAATTCTCCTTTCTCGATGAACTTGGTGGCTAACTGGCGCAAGGAATCCACGGCGAAAAAGGCAATGTCCTGGCCGCTGCAGCCCACACGATCAAAGTGTTCACCTATCACAGCCCAGATACGCGACCACTGCAGACGAATGCGACCCATGTTGTAGTATGAGATCTCGACGATCTTTGTTAGTGAGAACATGCGTGGCTGCGTTGGGTGCGCCAATTCTTCCAAAGAAACCTGCAAACGATTTTACAATGTTACTTTGTGAGCGTCAAATTAGATAAAACCACTGACGTACCTTGCACAAGGCTTTGACAAACTCAACTATAGCATCACCATCGAGTCTCGTGGAGCCGGTAAAAATTCTATCAACAGCCACGACTACGCTTTGCGAACTTGTCTCTCCAATGGATTCTTTAACGCTCGCTAAAACAATAGTGATATTCATTAATTGCTACCACAATAGAGTCACGAAAAATTATCAACTTACGATCAAGTGAGCTAAGATTCAGCCCATTACTCTGGTGCGAGCTGTTGAGCGCGAGGCTGGGGAAGTTAGCCAGTGGCGATGGAAAGTGCGGCTTCGAAGGTGGACTGAGCATCTGCGGCCTGACACCAGTGCCAATCAGCTGGGCGAGCTCGAGCTGCGATATGCACTTGACGACGTCGAGCCACGAGCTTCCAAGATAGTTACCGTCGGTGTGAGCCACTGTGATCAGAGTCTTAATCGTGTCGATATTCTTAGCCTTCATCTCTGTGATGGGCGAGTTGGCCGTGAGGAGGGTAAACCTAGCGAGCGCCTGCACGTACGCGTCTCTCTCGAGCTAAAAACAATGAGACGGCATAAATAAAAATATAGGTTGCATTTATACGTACAAGCTGCTACGAGGAATTTACCGTCATGTGAAAAATACAAGCTATGCGGATGGCACATCTAATGCCATCCAAGCACAGGGATGCTATCTCAGGATCATCACAGTCCTGGAGACCAACGCTAAAGGCCGCGAGGAAAGGCGTCCAGGCGATCTTGAACATCGGACGTACGTGTTCTAGATGCTTGGCTGTCGTGAACGGTGTTTGCACGTGGCTCACCGACTCCATGAGGTTCTTAGCTGCCGTCGAAATCACCTCCATTTCCATGTTCCATAGTAATCGGCGTTTCTTCTCGCTCGATATGACTGCGTAGCAATATTTGATGATTAATTTATTCGATTCATGTGATCGATAATTACGTGGTACCTTGTTTGCCGGGTCTGTTGGGGTTGGACTTCATCTTGATCTCGTTACCCGCGATCTCGTCGTAGATTTTCGAGAGGTACTCTTCGGGTAGATCCTCGTTGTCACTGATCCGTCGATTGAGATTGATGTACTGTTCCTTTGTCATTTTGTTCTTTACTTGAGGCGAATGAAGGTCCGTCGTTAGCATGATTATTGAAAAGCCCAAGATGTAGGCTGTATCGGCGCTTGTGAAGAGGCCATTGCTGTAAGACGAAGGGGCTAATTTTAGATAGTGTACACTTATGAAAATTTTATTAAGCGTCTCACGAGCACGTACTTGGGATTGCATTCGCAGTAACGGCTGGCAAACTTTTCCATGAGCCGATCGATCTTTTGCGCTTCTCCGGGTAATCTAAAGCCTTCCAGAAAATAACGCAAGGCAGTGACAAGGTCGCGCCCGACGAAATCCATCTGATCGATGTAGCTGTACATGACTTCCTTATGATTGTGGTCGCCGAGGAAATCGCCGATTGTCGTTTTGTCGAGACGCTCGTCCGTGTGCAACCAACGTGCTACGTCCTCATTCGTCTGACCCAACAGCCCTTGCTCCTGTACGTACTGTATTCCCTTGATTGGCTTCCGATTGAATCTGCAGAGGATAAAAAAGTTGCGATAAATCCGAAATTTTACAATCACCATCATTAGCGGGGAAAAACGCACATCTCGATACCGGTTTCCCAAATCTCTTTCTGCTGCTTTTGCGTCTCATACTGTTCAGGCGAATCCGGCACCTCCTTATTTCCGACCAAACTCGAATTAGCCGACGATAGACTTCCAGCGCTTCCGTACCTGGGCAGCAGCCTACTACCTCCGTTGCTCTGCGAGCTGTTAACAGTCGTCGTGGAAGCAGTCTCGAGCGGTGGATCCGGTGGCTCGGTTGGTACCTGCTGTTCAGCGGGCACCGAAGGATTCACATACAGGTCCCTGCTCCACTCGACCATGCACTTCAAGATCGAGACGAGGCATTCCAATCCGCGAATTCGCATGGATTTCTCTTGATTTGGCGAGGCGCCGAGCTCGAGGGCTTGTCTACCCTGCGCTATCTTTGATAGATCATTCACTAGTCTCTCGAACAGATTGGCGGCTGAGAGATCGCAGTCGTAATTTACGTAAATATCAACGACACTTTGAGCGTCGGCGCAGATGCGCGTGAGTGCATGAATGACCATCCACTTGTGCTCAAATGAGCTGCTCGAGGTTTCTAGAATGTTCAAAAAGATCTCCTTAAAGAACACTTCGATCTGCATTTTCAGGTGGATTTTGAAGCGAGCCAGGAGTACGAGGAACAGAGCCAGCGATAGCTCAAACACTTCCGGCACGGATGATACACCGTTTTTGGATAGCGCGACGCAGAGGTACTGCTTGATGGCGGTAACAAACATTTCGTTTGAGCGAAGGATCGGGCCGGCGTTTTGCAAAATGCCCAGTAGCAGCTGCAGGGACAGGATTTTCGATCTTAGCTCGTGTGATCTGAAATTATAAAGAATCGGTTTTTTTAGTAAATTATTTGTCCAGTGATTTTAGTTTGAAAAATCTTACTTGGGATCTGGCGTGCCGTCGGGCAGAGGTTTCATGGAAAGTTTGCATAACGCTCGGAAAACTAAAAACGCGTCCTTTTGTAGTACGTGGGTGAACTTTGCCGTGACCATGTTGTCACTTTCAGCTACCACCTCGTCTGGCGTCTCGTCAGGGATATTATTGGGTGGCTCTTCAATCGTCGGCGTGACTGGTGGTTGCTGCTGCTGCTGCTCTGTTGGAGGCTGCTCCGTTTCCGACATCGACGACTCGGTGACGGCCGTTGTCGGTGTCGTTGGTGGTTCGGATTCCTGGCCCGGCTGCTCTTCTTCGATTGGAAGTACACTATCGATCACGTCGTTCAATACTGAACGAACAATCAGCTGGGCCTCGTTGATCTCATCTACTGACTCTTCTGTAAAGAAATATTATATTAGCTCATTGTTTTGCAGCAATTAATGATATTTACCGACCTATTGGAGGAGGCTGTTCTTCTAACTCTGGTGGTGTTTCTGCTGCCGGCGAGGGATTTTCAACAGCAGTCAACTGTACACTTGCAATACTTGACACCGGTGTATTTACAGGTTCGCTGTCCGTGTCCGTGACCGTCGTCACAATCGATACGTTCTGTAGCTCCAGCTCTGTTGTTGGCTTTGCGCTCTCCTCCTCCTGAGAAACAAAAACAGAAAGTCGATGTCAATGCAACGAAAAATTTACCCCGTCATCGTTGCTTACCGCTTGTGTTTCCATACGAGCAAAAATAACATTGATCATCTGCGTAAGCGTCGCTCTAGCTGTAGTCTGATTGACCAGATTTCTCGATGCCAAGTACACATTGTACACAGTGCGGATCGTCAATAGCACAGTTCCTTCGTGGACCTCGACATGCTGGCTCGTCATAACAGTCAACAGAGCTTTAATAATTTGCAACTGGACACCTTCGTCCGTCTGTGGACCTATGAAGCAGCTGCAAATCGTTTCGACGATCCGGACAATCAGCAGCTTGTTGGGATCTGTTGAATCGGGTATGCTGCCCGTTAGGTGTCCATAGGCGATGAGTTTTTGCAGACAGTCGAGAGATGTTACGACTATCCTCGGCGACTTGCTCTGACAAGCTAGTTCGAACGGTAAAAAGTATTTTTCCGCGCTGATGAAATTCGTGTCGCTCTTTGGTTGTGGCAGAGCGTTCGACGGTGTGTCCTCGCCTTGCGTGCTCGGCACTTCTTTGATTTCATTGTGAAGGTCCTCTGAAAGTTAAATATTTTAATGAAGAAAAATTAAAGTACAAAAGAACTCTAAAACTGAAAAAAAAAAAAAAAAAAGTCTTTGTGCTTACCAAGAGCAGCCTCACAGGCCCTCCTGAGTTGAGAAAGATGAGAGCGCTTGACATCACGATCAGCAAGTATTTTTTCTAAAGCTCTTACAATAAACATCTCTCTTGTTTTTGAATTATTTCGCATCGTCGCTTTAGACACCTAAAAGCCCCAGATTATCATGAGCAAATCACATTAAATGCAATGAATCAAATTTACGTCCTTTATGCACATGCATGTATTGAATTATGCGTGTTCACTTTGTACGGTATGTTCATATACAGATCAATAATAAACACACAAATGTTAAACTGAAATTTTGGTATTGCCAGCCAAATATATCGTTCAAGTATTTAAAATAAAGATTATATTACATTTGAGGTGTTCTAAAAGTTAAGTATCAAAAAGTAAACATAGAATGATGAAACCAGATGATTCAATGTTTATACAAACAATTAACTTGCAACTATGCTCTGATAAAAAAAAGCCACATAAGCACTGCATGAACAGAATGTCGTGTAGGTAAAAGACTGTAAAAAAATACAGGGTGGAGGAACAATATGCTCGTTCAAAGAAAAATCCTTGCAAATTGCAGAGATCTAAAGATTATTAGTACGAACAAATTGGTGAAAGAAAAAAAAAAAAAAATTACAGCCCTCGAGATATAGACAACGGAAAATTCCCAATTACCAGGATACGTGTTCCGGACTGCTTGTCTTCCGAGTCCTCGTCTGGACTTCACTCCAAGTGTGTCCCAAGACCACCAATACGACAAGAAGGCAAAAAGCTTCAGGCCATCACACATCAGCCTCGGTGTCGTCCATACCCCTTTTGACTTTTATCGTCGACAGCTGCTTCTAGTGCAAGCTTATATCTTACTCCCTTTTTGGCTTCATTTAAAGAGAGAAAGGGAGAGAGAGAGAGAGAGACGAGAAAGGGGCCTTTTGCAAATTGAAAGATGAGCCCTTGAGAGTGACCCGCGTGGGTGTAACGTAGTAACACTTGCACAGCCGAGTGAATTAATTAACAAAAAAAAAAAAAAAAAGAAGAAGAAAAGGGGAAAGTACTTAATCGAAAAGACGAACGGACGAGGAGAAACACACCCGGATCGACACGCACTTCTCATGCGGGCTCTTTGGTCTTCCTCCTCGCTCTCACTCGCTATATTTCCTCTTATCTCTTTTTTTAAATTTTTTTACTCTTTTATTAAGTACGCATACTGCGTACTGCGTATATATGTGATACGTATGTAAAGTAAACCCACGTAAACACACGCGTAATTAAATTATGAAAGATTTACAAAAATACATGTATATTATGCCCATCATTACACATATATTTGTATTTTTTTACCATATTAGCATATATTTTAAATGACCGATTGTCGGCAGGTACGCTGTCTGCTGTACCTTTGGCGCTCAAAACATTCAAAATTCAAAATTAAAAACTCGAGTGTTCGGATTAAAGTTCGGTAAAAAAGTCGCGTTCGTCAACTCACTCGAGGGATACTCCAAATACTACAGTGAATCAGTGAACTAGTCTCGCTGAGGTCATCAAGAGAGTTTTCAACCAATTTTAGTTGGCTTTTCTTCAGTTTCGCCTATCAAAGTATGCATAATAATATATGTACGAGTATTTGAACGCAACTTTATTTTTCCGTACTCCAACAGCTAAAGTGTAAGTTCGAGCTCGAGAATGACAAACAGCCAGAATTCCGAGGTCAAAGAGAAAAAAATGTCACCCAAGCCTGAGCCGCCTGCCGAGACGGCAATACTGTCCCCAGGAGTCGCAGAATCGGACGGGATCAGTCACGGGAGTCAGTGGATTCAAACAAAAATGATCGATCCTATCATGCATTTCACGCAAAGTTCGACACTGGTAGCTACATATTTTTCTCCCTCGTGCATTTTCTTTCTCATGTAGTTTTTGACGCCGCGGTGTATTTTCCGTCAGACATCCGAAGCTGCACTGCTGCAGGACAAACTGAGGCTGTACGGGATCCTCGCCGACATAAACGAAAAATTCGTAGCGATTTTGGACAAGGCGGTGCCGTCGATGACTCCTGTTACCTGCGACACGGAAACGTACCATCAACTGCGCTGCCTGAATCAATTGGTCAGATCGAGAATCGAGCAGACGGACCAAATGTTGTCTCAAATGTGGATCGACAAAAGCTTCGTTCTCGCCAGTCCCGTTTCCGTGAGCAGTACCGAGAACATCTGCTGTCCGAGTGTGAAAAAAAAGTCCAAAGGTATGCAAATACCGGTTATAACTACCAGCGATTTAGGATTTGTCCAGGAGCTCAGAGAGAAGGTCAGGAGAAAACTTGATTTTTACAATTATAAAAGTAACGATAACGAGCCGGATTCCGTTGGGGAGAGTCTGATCTTTGGTGAGAGTCCACCGTGGGTTGGATCGAGTAAAGCCAACAATTTCCGGGTGAGGACACCTACAGAAGATGAGTCCGTTTGTTCGGACGCGTACTGGGAAAAACAGAAATCTCCCGAGACAAGTGACATGGTAACTTTGAATCCTGAAAAAGCAGAAGTGTCTATAGGTGGTAATTTTTTTGACATCCTGGAGGAAGATTCGTTCGAAGAATCTCAGGTCAAAAAAGTAGATTGTAATGATATTTACTCTCACTCGATGCAAAAGAATTCATCCGAGAGTGTTTGCGGTAAGAATAAGACAGATACAGCTATTTCAAGAAAGATGATATATAACGCGATTTTGTATTTTAGATGAAAATTGTCACGTTTCAACTCCAGAGACCTTACGCAATGATACTAGAAGCCTTTTTCAAGACCTTTCAGACAAAGGTCCTAAAAGTATATTGAAGAACAAGATGAACGTTGAGTGCAACGCAAACGCAACTGCGGCTCTGACATTGATAGGCGACGTGACCAACGATGGCGCTGCAGGGGAATTCAATAACGTAAACTTTCCTCACTGCCCATTGATGTTACGCGTGAGTTTTTTCATTGAATTACTTATGTATAAATATATTGGTTCATAGTTACGAGTTTTTTTGTTGTTGTTTTGTGTATCAGTATTTCAGAACGATATTCGGCCTTCAGCAGTTCAGGCCGAACCAGCTTTCGGCGATAAATGCAGTGATTCTCTCTCACGACTGTTTCATCCTGATGCCGACCGGAGGTGGAAAATCGTTGTGCTACCAGTTACCTGCCCTGCTCTCGGAAGGAGTCACGATCGTCATCTCGCCTCTCAGGAGCCTCATCATCGATCAGACCCAAAAGCTGACGAACCTCGACGTTAGCTCACCACCAATTCGTGCTTTTTTTTTTATATCATGCGTACACACGAAAATCCACAAGGTTCCTTTTTTCAGATCCCAGCCATGTATCTCACATCGGATTTGAACAATAAAAATGCCCGACTAGTTATTCAGGGAATGTATCGTACCCCGGAACCGATCGTCAAGCTTTTGTACGTCACTCCAGAGAAGATGTCGTTGTCGGAGACGTTTCGATCGTGCTTGCAAGCGCTTCACAAGCGCGGTAAACTCGCGCGTTTTGTCATCGACGAGGTGCACTGCGTGAGCCAGTGGGGCCACGACTTTCGTCCCGATTATAAAAAGCTCAAAATGATCAAGGAACAATTTCCCGACGTACAAGTCGTGGCCCTGACCGCTACCGCTACTCAACGAGTGAGGAGCGACATTTTGCACCAATTGAATTTGAGATCGCCCAAGTGGTGAGCTTTTATATTATTTTTACTCGGTCAAATAGCTTTTTTTTTTATAGCGAGTAATAAATTTTTTAAAAGGTTTATATCGAGCTTCAACCGGCCGAATTTACGCTACAGTGTTGTACCCAGGAAAGCAAGGTCAACACGGGATGCAGTAGTAGATTTGGTCGTGGGCAAATTTAAAAATGAGTGCGGCATCGTGTACTGTTTGTCGCGCAGCGATTGCGACCTTTGTGCTTCAGCGCTGCACAACAAAGGGATTCAAGCTCTGAGTTACCATGCCGGCCTCGAAGATAACGAACGAAACATTCGTCAGAGCAACTGGAGCTCGGAAAAGGTGATTTTTTTTTTTTTTCTTCATATAGGTACAAAAAAATTAGTACACGGTCTTACAATTTTTCATCCTTGATCATTTTGGTTTATCGACGCAGGTAAAGGTGATTTGCGCAACGGTGGCGTTCGGCATGGGCATTGATAAACCTAATGTTCGTTTCGTCATCCACGCTTCGATACCCAAATCTATAGAAGCCTATTATCAAGAAAGCGGCCGAGCTGGAAGGGACGGCGAAATTGCCGATTGTATTTTACTGTACAATTACAGTGACGTGCATCGTCTGCGTCATATCATCGAGACGAGCGAAAACGTGACCACCGAGTCTTTGAAAACGCACATGAACAATCTGTACAAGATCGTTCACTTTTGCGAAAATTTGACCGACTGTCGTCGATCACTGCAGCTCAACTATTTTGGGGAAAAGTTCGATAGGAAAATATGTATCGAAAACAGTCAAAGTACTTGCGATAACTGCCGTACTTACGTGAGTATATATTTTTATGTTGTGCAAATATTTTTGATTGAAACTAAAAAATTGTTTAATACATCCGCAGGGAAGCTTTTTTTCGGTCGACGTCACTAATCACGCCAAAGCTTTGGTCAGTCTGATCGTCGAGCTCAATCACATTAGAACAAATAATATCACGATATTACAAATCGTCGATATTTACAAAGGCTCCGACGTATCAAACATTGCTTATAAATTAGGTAATATTAGCAAAAAATAGACGAAAAATTTTTTCAATTACTGCGAATTTAATTGATAAATTGTAGGGTACAACTATCACAAATATTTCGGCTGTGGCGCCGAAATGACGAAGCACGAAATCGAACGATTGATGCACAATTTAATCGTTGAAGGCTACCTTTGTGAAAATCTTCAGCTGAACAATGGCATAGTTTGTTCTTACGTCGTACCTGGACCACTTGCATCGGACTTTTCACAAAGTGACGCACAGGTAATTACTTGCATCTAAAAAAAAAAGATCATTTTTCTTTTCCAAGTAGTAAAGGTCCCAGTATGGTCAGACGCTCACTCATTCATTACATGTTTTTCTCCACGTCACCAAGATTTTCCTTCAAAAGAGAAAACCATCGCAACGACGCCAAACCTGCGTGCAGGAAAACAAACCAGTGTTGCCTGAAACTAACGCTCGTCTCAAAAACATCGAGGAGAGCTGTTATCGCGAACTCTTTGATGTGATTTCTGGCATCGCGGAAGCTATGGGGATGCGCGCCAATACGGCAATGAACCTTACGGCATTGCGAGAGATGAGCAGACAGCTACCCACTTCGCAGCGAGCGATGATGCGCATACCTCACGTTACCAAAGCCAATTTTCAGAAATACGGCCGTACGCTACTCGAAATTATTTCGAAGTATGCTAAGGAAAAAAAGAGTACGTTTCTTTGTAGGCATCAGTTTCTGTATAAGGGATTTTTGTTTGTTAAATTTTAAAAAATAAAATTTTTTCAGAGATACTTCGTGAAGATCAGAAAAACCAATCGAATGTCGATAATCATTTGCAATTTGATGACGAGGACGGTGATCCGATAGAATGGGAGGATATTGTAGACGCTCATAATCAAGTAAACACTGATGTTAATCATACAAAGTGAGACTTGTATAGTTTTTTTTTTTTTTTTTTTTTTTGTTGAATTTAGATTATTTTTTAGGTATTAAATTACTGTTTTTTCTAGTAAAAGCGTTTACCAATCATTTAAAACGACTGCTCCACCAAAGAGAAAAAGCACTCAAACGAATATTAGTTCGTATTTAAAAAAGAGCAAGACGACTCCAAGTAGTACCCTAAGCAAGACACTTCCACCATCTGCAAAAACTTTCTCCACAGATGTAAATAATGGACCGGGACTGTGCGAACTGAAAAAGTTTCCACCTAAAAAACCTTAACGCGAGTAATTAAAAAAAAATTTGCCAAGATTTTAATGTTATTTAAAAAATTTCAAACATTATGATCCTTTTTAAGTATACGAAGTTTTAGATTTAGACAATTGTTATTACTATTAATGTTTATTTATTGTTGTAGAACAGTCGTTGTTTAAGTGGAAAAATAAAATTTTTCAAAAATTTTTTATAATGAAATTACAAAACAATACTGAATAATGTAGCTACGACGGCAGAAGATTAATTTTAAATTTTGTCATTATTCATTGAAAAATTTTTTCTATTAAGTTGTCAGAATAAATTGTGTATAGCAAAAATTTTTTCTTATTTTTTACTACTTATAAATCTAATAATTTACTTTATACAGGTGTTATTAATCATTGAAAATAAAATTGTGAAATTATGAAAGATTTTCAATTTTTTTGTTTTTATTTTTTAATTATGGCTTGCATCATAGCAAAGCTACTTATTCGTATTAACATTAAGTATGTACAAAGATATTGACTTTTCAACTAAATTTTCAATAATCGTTTTAACGGTAACAGCTGATCTTGTGAGGTAGTTAACAGTATACTTTTTCAAGTATTGTCTTTAGAAAAAAAAAAAAAAATACAAGGAATTAAAATTTCTGAAGTAAATATTTTACAAAAGAAGCTTATTACTTAAAGTTGTTCATAACCAGATTTTATTTACAAACATGTACCATCTGTGGAACGACTGAGTACACATTTTTCAATTATAATTAGTGAAAGTTCATTTTAAACGTATTTCCGATGTCGAGGCTGCTAGATGCTCGTTAACTGATTTTGTGAATTCAGCTGGATTACAAAAATTTTGTCAACTTAATTTTCACTCAACTATGCTTAACTAGTAATTGAAATACTCATTAGCCGTTCTTAATGTATGTAATTTTATAGTTTACATCATTATACATTGCACACAGTATTTCAACTACTCGCCTTCCGCGATTACATTGTTAATTTAATTAACAAATTTTTTTATTTTTTCCTTCTGAATCGACTTATTTGTATTTTTTCGGAATATATGCTAATTTTGTTGTTTTGATGTGACTGAACTTGTGTCTCTTCAAGTAATAGAAGAACGCAAAAAGCATTGAACCTATTCCAAGGACCTGAAAGATTTTTTTCATAAAAATTTGATGAAATTCATAAATTACCAAAGAAAAACATATAAAATTCAATCTTACTTTAATAGACATTCTTTGCCTGTCGTCAAACTCGTGGTTGGCAGACCACATTAGGAAATTAGCTACATCCTTGGCTATTTGAGATCTTGATGCTGGTGTGCCATCTTCGTATTCGATTACCTCGTCATAAATGGGCTAAAAAAATAAGTAAATACTCATGGTATCTGCAGAAAAATGCCAATTTGATGAAACAGTTTTACGATATAATTCATGCTTACCGGTGCCATACCAATAGCACCACCGGGGAAGTATGGATTGAAGTTTTGACCTTCCCTTAGAGTGATACCAGCTGGCGGATCGCAGTAACCAGTTAGCAGCGAAAATACGTAGTTCTGAAAATACGTAAAGGGTAAAACCACCGATGATTCAAATAAAAACACCACTATAAATGCCATTTTCAAGTATTACCTCTCCACCATGTCGTGCATTGACGATGTACGACAAATCGGGTGGATAGGCACCATTGTTCGCCGCTCGAGCAGCTTCTTCGTTGGGGTATGGGGATGGTACATAATCGCTGAGTTTACCTGGACGCATGAAATATTCGCCCTGGTCATCCGGTCCATCTTTGATCTGGAAAATTTTTAAGGCAATGAATAAGAGTGCAGTTTTTAAATATCATTGAAAAAGATAGGTCACCCACTTGGACTTCCTCCGCTATAGCCTTAGCCTCTTCTTCTGTGTGTGTATTGTTGACAAGATGACGGTAAGCTACGTATTCTAAACTATGGCAGGCAGAGCAGACGTTTTTGTAGACCTCCCATCCTCTTCGCATACTATAAGCAAATAAACAAGTGATTAATTTTAGTTTTTTGTCAGCAACTTATCGTTCTAATAAGACAAATGATTTGAACTACACTTAATGACACCTGCAAAAATTAAACCTACCTTGCATGGTCTAATGATTTAAAAAATCCAGAGAAAGCCCAGTGATAATGAGGTGGATGGGCTACAATTTCTATTGCCTTAACAGATTGATCTAAAGTAAATAATAGGGCACCTATTCCGCCAGCAGCTACACCTATACATGCTGTTGCCTGTAATTAAAGTAAATTTTAAGAATACAAGTGAAAACTTCAAGTACATCTGGCATTAACAATGACTCACTGATAAGGTTTGGAGGACAAGGAACCATAGTAAAACACTTACGAGTTTTGAAGGATGGGTCAACTCAGCCAGGGACTGTTTTTTTAAAAATTCAATTTACAGAACTTACCACTTTACGACCTCTTGACCATTCACGTGTCCCCGAGAAATGCCTAACCTGCGAAAATTAACAATATTTTTCGATAAAACATTTATTTACCAACTCTAAGTATTAAAAATAATTCTAAAAGAGTTGAATTTCAACATGAATTGCCATGACAAAAATGTAAATATATTTATCTGACACAGAGTCAGCAATGTCAAAATTAATAAAAATGTAATAATCACAGAGATTTTAGACTTAAATCTTTTATTTATGAAGCATTAACTTTGTAACACTAATAAACAAATTTATGAAACATACATGTAGGTGCATGTACACACACACACACACACAAGTACAAGTCAGCTGCACGCTTTCAAGTTTTAAGTGACATAACTACTCATCTCTTAAAAAAAAAACCAAGCAAGCTTGTAATCTGTCCATTTTCCCCTTTAAAAACTCCTCCAATCATCTTTTATCAGTCAAAGAAACCACTGCCCTCATAATAAATACAAACACTCCCATATCCTTTGCAGAAACAGAAAAATGTCCAGTGCAAAAATCCAAACAAAATGCAACAAAAATTTTCACAAATCAGCGCAATTCCACCGTTACCGCCCAGTGTCATATTTAAAGGCCTCGTTGACAGGGGACCCAGCAGAAGGAAGGCAATGGGTCACGCACAACAAGTGTGCTGCCCTGCATCGCAAGAACAACCGGGCTTGTTTGGACAATTCAGATCACGGAGGGTGCGTTAGAGCAAGAGCATTGCGAAAAAAATACTACGTCCCCGCGCAGAGTTACATAACTGTCCGCGAAAAATCATGAGCACGCCCGGGTTTTCGCTGGCCCAGGGCCGGAGTCAGCTGTGCCTGGCGAGTCCCGAAAGTCAAGCACCCGTCAGTCAATTTCTCGGCGCAATGAAAATAACAAGCCGATGGGAAAATAAGACGATGCTGTTGGCATTTAATCATGTTTGTATGGCTCTCGTGCACACAGGGCATGTCGTCGTAGCAGCCGACAAAGGTGGGACGGGAATGTATATACATGTATAATTATACGCGAGACACAAGTGCAGAAGAGGTTGGAAAGTCACTGATCTGTCAGGGGCGCGCGCGACCTGGACGTCTTCTCCGGGGATACGATCGGACCATGGGGATAGTTTTGTTGACAGTAGCCGCAGCGGACTTACCTTATTGTACAGTGAACCGTTCGACGGCTTGAGGAGGGCAGATCGATAAAACCGTCCCAGGGAAGCCGCCATGTTGGCCAAATGGAACTAGATGCGGCTCGGTAAGCTGCTGCTGCTGCTCCGAACAGCGAGACAAGCAGCACTGTCTTCTTTAACACCAGTGTTCTACTGGACACGTTTGTAAGTTTGTATCATACGCGCGCAGTCCCGTGAGTTTGTGTCCGTGCAGAGTCGGTCTTCAATCTTCAATACCTCTGTCAATACTTAAAACACGGCACAAAACGTTTGATTGTTTGACACGTTGTCCACACTTTTTTACCGTAAGATATACAGTTTGAGCTATATTTATACTATAAATGATAGCATTTACAACAATTTGGCTGAAAGTTGCTGCAAAATGGATACCTACAATCAATCAAATTGGGACCCTGTGATGAGTGAGCTTCGATTCGACGAGCGATTCGATTCAAACTTGTGTGTTGTGTATGTAGGTATACGTTACATTATGCTCGCTACTTTAGTACAATTTTCATAAATATTATGCTCATTATTGAGGTTATTATCAGCGATTGGTTTGGTTGTTCATGACGAACCGCGTTATCGTTAAAAAAATAGGGCGTTTGAATCCACTAAATTTCTACAGTGACATAACCTCTCTTTTTATCGACTAATCGTTTCGTGTATACATTTTTCTAATTTACGTCATTGTTGTAAGAAAAAACTTGCATCATTATTGGTTTACATAAATTTGAATTGAACCTCCCGCCAAAGCTCAAACCCGAACTTGCGGGACGTCCCATTGGCTTATAATTTCGAGGGAAAATTCAAAAGATCCTTAATCGGTGTGGCTAATTTAAGTAAATGTGTACAATATTATTTGTTCTAGGATTAGTTAGTTATAATTGCAATTTAAAAAATCAACAAAATCTTCTCTCAATCAAAATCTTTGAAATTTATTGTGATTCCCAAAGGGGATCATTTCAAGTTTTAAGTTCCATGTAATAGTAGTTTTCCTACGAGTTTGAAAAGTCTTTGTTTGCGAACCGAGAGGTTTGCGGCCCGAGCCGAAGGCGAGGTCCGTAACGAGGTTCGTAAAGGAGACTTTTCGAACGAGTTCCGGAAAACTGCTTTTTCGCCCGAGGAAGTACCAGCCTCCCAAAACCGGTTTGGCCCTCGGGCGGAAAGTAATCGGCGGGCGGAAAGTGCGCCCACGGGCGGGAAGAAGCACTTTCCACCCTAGTGGCGTAATATACTATAACACTGTGACCGGACGGTTTTCTCTAAATAAGTCAACAGTATTTGAAAGAAAAATCTTTTAATTTAAATCAAGCCTTTTTTAGCACTTGTAAATAGTATGCATCAAAGTATGAAAAAAATTCCTGAAGAGATTTTTTTCAAACTTATCTTATTACTGATCAAGAAGACGCGAGTGACCTACTTGTTATTCATCATGTAATAATGGTGGGTAAATTTTTTTTAACTAAAGATTTTATTCATCCTATTTTCTTACAAAAGTTAATTGTTTTCTAATGGCGAAATGCTCTTTATTATAGCATATACAGTAAAGATTTATAATCTCAAGCGTACTTAAAGTTACGATCTTTGAACACTCGTTGATCTCAGTACATGCATGTACAATTAATTTGCCTATAACATCATTGTTCTCAACAAGTTCAAATAAGTTGCAGCCGACTTGAGTACCTGTAAATATCACATACTTGAGATATAGTTTTTAACCAGATTATACTTGTATAGCGTGAAATTTTACAAAACTTACATTGCAAAAACTACTTATCGTCAAGTTTACCATTTTGCCAGCGGTGATTTTTGCCGGTCGCTGAGTCGTTATCATGATTATCATGATCAAATCTAGGGCGCTTTTGTGGGGTAACGTGTGCCAGTCAATGGTGTATGTGACTTCGCCCACCTTTTGGCACTATATTATCAACATTTAATTGTTATTTTTCATTTGTCAAATAGTAACTGAGTATTAGTCGACGGGCCATGGGGTTCTTGTAGAAAATGAGTGCGTACGGCTTCACCACGAGTATGTAGCTTAATAATCGTTATAAACAATTTTCTTTAAAATATGTTTCAAAAATTATAATTTTAGTTTAAAAAAAGTTCATGTTGATCTTTAATTGTTTGTTTGAACCAAAAAGATTCGTTACACTTTAAACGAGCATTTCACGAAAAAAAAAAAAATCCTTTGTTTGTGTGAAACAAGCGGAATAATTTAATGACTTCTTTTTCAGGCCAATAAGCTAATAATTGGTTTCCCCTGCTACTAGTCCACACATAAGCAAATCTGTGTCACACGAACTTGATAAAAATACCCATGGTGAATCGTAGCGCAGCTATAAAAAAACTTCCCTTGGCCATGTGCATATAGACGAAATTTTATGTATTTATTCACCGAATCCATGATTAGTTGACCAATCAGGCAAAATATGAAGATGTTGAAGGTGAAAGATACCAAAAGTACGAAGTACGTTATAATACTAATAGTTTCCCTTCTCTCCCACTCCTAAAACAAAAAAAAAACGAGAGAATGTAAAATAGCTTATGTAATTAAGAAAAAGAAATGTTTTTCTTATCCTATTCACCGTTATGCAGAAGTACCCTAAAAAGCAAATGTTCAAGGTGCAACCGATGAACTCAACGAAACATATGGCGTTGAGATTTTGTTCCACTCTATTGGCCAAGCTAAAACCAACAAACCAAATAAATCGTCAACTCACACGTACACCCAACGGAAAGATATTCTCGGACAGGCCTGACCACCGATTTTGTGCGTTGAGCACCACTGCCAGTGTGTAGGGTCATGTAAAGTTAGGTACGAGCAGATGCTTGATACATTGGCAGTGGCACTCAACGAGCAAACTATAGCTGATCAGGTCTGTCCGAGAATATATTTCCGTTGGGTGTACAGTAGATGGCCAAATATTAGCGATCCCTTCGAGGCGAAGACGTGGGTTGAGTGACACTGAAAGCATGTACTTCAGTATATGTCTTGAGTGACACTTAACCTGTGGAGGGGTATACCGAATATCTAGCCGTCTACTGTACACTATAAGACGGCCAGATATTCCCGACCTCCTCCTACGAGTTGAGTGACACTGAAGTCATATATCGAAGTACATGCTTTCAGTGTCTCTCAACCCACGGAGGGGGTCGGGAATAAATATCGGACCGTCTAATGTACACGACTTCAGTGTCACTCAACCAGCGGAAGGGTCGCGAAACTATCGAGCTTTTAAAACCGATTAAATACGTTACTCAATAGCCCTAAGATGGCGCTCAACTATCTCTGCCATTTTCCGACTGCTCTCCGCTACAGAGGAATTTTTCTCGTTGGCGAAGTTTTTGATGAGCGCCATAACGATTTCCAACTGTCCGCATATGTGCACGACGAAAACGGCGGCGAGACTGCACGCGCTGATGGTTATGGTGTAGAGCACGTAGCCCGACGCGAACTGAATGATAAAAACGATCTCGTAGATCGGGCTGTTGTCCACATTCATCAGTCCTCGGTAAATCGGATAAGTTAGTCCTCGTGGCGCTACAAGAAAAGTCGTGATAAAATTAATTGGTTTAAAAATTTTTTAATTTCCTCTTCGTATTTAATTGTACATACAATGCGAAGGAGAATCGGCCAAGTGGGTGACGTTAGCCCCCTCGAGTCCGGGTAGTTCCTCGGTGAGATCGGCAGTCGCTAACCTTCCCGATGACAGGGGCATTATTGCGTGGTAAAAGAAGCCACCGCTGTACATGAAAGCTGCACACAGCAGGGCCAAGAATCGTCCGAGTTTGGCTTTGTTTCGCATCAGCTCCAACTCCTTCTGTACTTGGAACGAAAAAAAGAATATCGTTGCTCATATACTGAGCTTTTCTAACGTGTATAACGTATAATGAAACTGAATTTAGCCGCTAAATACTATCCAATAAATCGTCAAATATCAAATTCCATTTCATGTACCCACAAAACTCGCCCATGTCAACATCAAGGGTACGAGGTCTAGTTTTTTGCATTGAGAGAGAAAAATAGTAAAAATTATAGAGAAATTCCAGCAAAAATTACCATTTCGCTCAACAAATTGGATGCAAGCTGTCAAAAAAGGAAAAAATATTGTAGTTAATAGTAAAGATTCTTGTTTTAATAGTAAAAATTCGATTGCTTGATAAATTTTACTCTTCCGCATCACAATTTTAACTGTTCTAACCATAATTTTCACAAACCAAACCATAATTGTAATTGTTCAAACGATAATTTTTACTGTTAAAAATAATAAATTTTTCTTTTTTTGCCAATTTACATTCGATTTACTGTGCAGAATGGTAAATTTTGTTGGAGTCTCTCTATAATTTTTATTATTTTTTTCTCTCAGTGCAGGTACATAATGTAGAAATTGGTATTTGATGTTTAGCGGTCTAGGATTCAGTGGCTAGCCAATACACCAATAAATCACTGTATGTAGCCAATAAAAATGCCAGAAAAATTATTTTTCCTAAAAAGTAATCACAAAGAATACTTATTTAAATCTCTAAGTAAACGCAAATGTGTGCAAGACGGCCATTCTCGTATCCTTAAAGAATCCTTTTACACCAAAAATCTGCGTATAGGGTGAATTCACTTTCATTATAACATACGGTATCGGATGAAACGTCACCTGGGCGTTGAGGGTCCGGTACATCTTCCAATCTTTCTCGACATGCTCAAAGCAGGCACCAATTTCCTTGATGCTGCCGACCAAAGAGCAATACTTTCCGATGGCCATGAGGATGAAGCTCATGGGTCCTATGAGTTTCAGTTTGATCGCTGGATCGGGCTCCTCCAGAAAGGTGTGGAGAGCACACGGGATCAGTAGGAAACCGATGAGCCCGTAACAGGCGAATATAGACAGTTGACGCGAGACTCGCCAGACCAGCGAGGCGTTTTGCTCTATCGGCCATATGCCGATCGGTATGAGAAAGTACCGATTTATTTGAGTCGCGAAGTAAGACTCTTTTGCATACATTGCTCGCACTTAAAATTAGATTTGTTACGTGTAAAGCGTCAAATGGAAAATTACGGCCAAATATTCAAAAACTTTTGCCACAGTTGGACCTTTTATATTTTAATGAAATCTCCCGAAAGTACAGGATGGTATTTGGAAGGGTTTCGTCACTGAACTTTGACGCTTCCTGTCGTAGAAGCTTGTGCCTCGGATAAACATTTTTTCGAGTAACAACGTAATGGGTTAAATAACATTGGGAAATTATGCTAATCGCGTATTTCTGCTTTACGTATCAAAATGACGTCTAATCGGTATCGCGGCAGTTAAATTAATGTAAATGTAAATACAAAGTGGATCCGTACCGATCGAAAGAAGAAACTAACCATTACTATCACAAACTTCTAATATCTCTGTATCGAGGGGGTCAGTTTAATTTAATATATTTACTCGACGTGCCTGAACGTTTTAATGGAAGTTTTTGACATGACGGACAACGAATGAGGACAGAGGGTTGATACATTTTTTATACTTCCTAATGAAACCGTACGCAGTTAATTCTTCTCTGTAAGCATGTTCGTGCTAATAGTATTTGCCATAGACGCTCGATAAAAAAAAAAAAAAAAAAAAAAAAAAAAATTGGAGTGTATACAAAACGAATACAAAGATAATAACTTGTTATTATACTGCCACACTCGGGAAAAAAGCGTAAGTACAATGTTACTTGGGCTTTTCCCTGAGCCAACAGTTTAATTACAACAAACTATCGTGATGGCTGAATGATTTTGGAATAATAATAGTAATGCTAGTAATGACAAAGCTGATATTTGGAGGAATCAATGAAAGCAATTTTTTTTGTTATCAACAAGAAAACGATAATTTGGGATCTCCACAATGTACTCAGCTAACACGTTGACTCAAATATCAAGTAGCATGTAGTGAAACTGTAATCCATGGAATGAGCTGAGATTCTAAAAACTTAAAGCACTATACGATAAAAAATATAAGGAGCGCTTATTCTTGTTTCAATGAAATTTTTAATGAAAGCTTTTGTTATGCATTAATAAGGGTACATTTTTTTTTTTTTTTTACCATACAAGTAATTAAAAATAAGTAGATGCAGTCATACCTAAGGTTCGAATTTCTAACGGGTCAACTTAGAAATCTTTTCAGTATTCGCTTCATCAACTTTGAATAGATGCAGAATCCGCGGGGGAAGGTACAAGGGATCAGTTGGATAAGATATTACAGTGGATTAATTACATGTAGTATGGATAGTAGTATTAAAAGATGTTATGGGTTAAGTGAAATAAAGAAAAAAAGTATGCATGTATGCTATGATTCAAGTTTTGTTTCATACAAAGCTTATCTAATCAAAGCGTTTATATTCCTACAGCACCATACGCGCCGAGCTTGTCTATGAACCAATTCACATTTAAATTTACATCAGTTTAGATTAACAATTGTGAACTCCACGGATAATTTAAAAAACGAATTTATTTTAATGGTATCAAAAATATGTTCAGCTGAAAAAATTTAAGAATAAAAATATTTGAAAACATCAACTATTTTTCGTTACGGGTAATGATTGAATACGTTACTTTACAGCTTGACAAATATAGCCATCCAAACGATTTAGACGTTGAGACTTCAAAGATAAAAAGTTCACGTCTACCAGCACTCTATTTCCGTTCGCAAGAGCGGTGCGGTGCATTGTTAATTGATTCGATAATTGTTACATCGATCGCCAGAGTTGTTTCTTTTTTTTTTCTCCCGTTCGTGATTCTTTCAATAATTGATGAAAGCTTCGAAGCGTGCGCGTACCCCGCTCTCTATGCCTTTTATGTATTTCATGAAAATCGGCTGTTAAAGAATATCTCCCGAGTAAAGGTGTTTTCAAGTACTTGAGAAATCATTTGTATTTTTTTACAGTACCATGAAAATTGATTGCTCTTAAAAATATAATGCATTAAAAATTATTTTGATACATAAAAAAAGGGTAAGACATCTAAAAAGTGCAAACAATAGTAATTGTAATGTTGATTGGCCACACGACTATATTAGATATTATTTTTGTTAATTGCTCAGTCACGTGAATAATTTTTGAATGCACCAAAAAAGAGTAAGTAAAAGCAAATTATTAATATCAAATCACCTGAATTGGTACACAGGAAAAAGTGCATTGGTTATACATTGATACGATTACACTATTTTTGAATAGACATTAAAACTGCAAAGTACGATATGGATGCTTTCAAAATCTGCAAAATGTAGAGTTCAATTTGTTATTAATATACGTTTGCACAGTAAAAATAATACCGAAGCCCGTAAATTCTTGCTATTCTTACCGAGATAAAGTTTTGCAAATCCAGCACAAACAATTTACCGCACGTCAGGCAACTCGGAGTTTGACTTTTCATCATTATCAACACCAATAATTTTTTAGCTTTCATCGGTATGTCCTGTCTGTACCAATCGAACTCGCAACTTCATGCATACAGAAATGAGATTTTGTATTATTTTGCCGCAAATTGTACTGATGAATATCTCCTATCTTCGAGTGTATACGTACCAAGAGTCATAGATAAGCGAACTGTGATCTTTGACAAGCTGGCCAGGATAATTGCAGTACAAGATGACGAGAAATTGACCAATTGTGAAAAATGCGAATCTCAATGCAACGTCATAGTCTCCCTTATGCTTGTTAACGACCGTCTAAGGGTAACACATGGTAGTATTAATATATGCGGTTGCTACATTTTTTAAAACGAATTTCTGTAACATTTTAAAAGATACAATTAATTATTACCTCTAACTCTGTAAAAGTAGCATTTGCAAGTGTGATCGAAACTACAAGCAGATTGACGATCGTGCACAGCGAATCGAGCTCGTCTGTAAATCTGGGGGTCATTTGAAAAAATATGTTTTTCTGTCCGAAAATTTGTACAATGAAGAATTAAGACGATTTAAAACCCCGGTTTTCAAAGTTCAATCCGGATGTATCAGCATAATATCTTTGTTTATTCATTTAGAAATTTATGTAATGGATCTAAATTTTGCTATTACCAAAATCACATCCAAATTTTATTTAAGGATTACGTACAATCATCGCATTCAATTCAAAGTTACCATTATTGCGTTAATTTAATGAAATTTTTTCAATAAAAATGTTAATAAAAATTTTTAAAACATAATAATGATAGCAAGAGTGAGTACTTATAAGTTAAATTTATATAAAAAAAAAAAAAAAAAAAAAAAAACACCAAGTTTTTACGTTCAAGAAGCGAATCATACATTTTGAATATAATATATTAAAAAGTATGCATAGTTAAAATGTTTTAGCAGGACTTGGCTGAATTTTTGTAATTTTATTTTAGTTTCTTTGAGTAAATAGCATTAATTGGATTTTGTTTTTTAAAATTTTTGTTTTATTTCGCATGTGGATGATGAAAATAATAATAAAAGGTAATTTCTGCCAAGGTATCATTTAAAGTAATACATTTTTAATTAATAGGTGGGTGCAGTATTAAATTCAGCTATGAACTTTCATTTCTGGCTTTAAATGATTGCGTCAAGTGCTATTGCGTATTCTAATCTAGACTTTCTGTCACGGAATTTAAGGTATTTAAGGGTTGATCCTTTAATAATGTTACAAATAAGAACAAAAGCTCTAATTTTTTACAAAGAAAATAATTATCTTTTTTTTTAATAGGAATACTGTTGTGTTTAAAAAGATCATGAATTTTAAGAAAAAATATTTCAATTTCGTGAAATACAGCACTTAAAATTTTTTTTCTATTTCTTTGTATAATCTATGAATAAAATTTTAGAACATAATCTCGAAAAACTTTTCATTTTCAAGTTAACTAAAATTTAAAAAAATCTTTGTTTACTGTAACCATCTATATCACTAAGATTACTTTCAACTTTCAACAGGTGTTTGCGCCATTTTTTCAAAAAAGCCTCGGAAAGTTATCGCTCTTGATTGGAGGCCATATCATAAATAAGTTTTCGGAGGATTTCACCCCGTAATTTTGCACGTCAATCTCATCCCAAATTTCCCATCATTATACGTGATAACCCTTTTTTTGCCTCGAAAAGTCTCTCAAAAAGTTTGAAAAAAATCCATTTATAGGAAATACTTCAATTCACATGGCAATAAATCATATTGTAATAATGTTATAATTATCTCGATATTGTTTTGATAAAATGACTTTTCTACTAGAAAACTAGTACGCATCGCGAAAGCCCCCGATTTTCCGAATGACTGGACGGACGATACTCAACTCCAAGGCGCGCTTGTGGACGACTATGCTGTTGGCGATTCTGCGGTAAACCAAACTCTGCCGGTGTCCCAGCGACTCCTCGGCCGCCGCTCCCGCATGGCCCGATTCCTCGATGGAATTGTGCAGCTCGACCCTGCGAACGCATATAGGTAGAAACAATAACCCGCCGTACACTCCCCTGCATACGCCTATGACTTACACGACGATTTTGAAAAGTGCACACGCGTGCTGGGCAAAGTTGAACAGGAGAGTGTCGAAGCCTATGATGATGAGCATCGACACAAGATCGAGTACAAAGCCGTGGACGAGGATGAAGTTGAAGTGGTCCTCGATCCTGGGGATGTTGTACTTGACGTAGCGGATGGGGTGTCGCGGCCGCGACTCGTTCAACGGCATCAGCGCGTCCAGCGCGTGGGGGATGAATGCCATCGAGTTGTAAAAGCACACCGAAAAACACATGTACACTGCATGAAATTATCAATCAATATTTACATATCTTTGATCCCTGTTGAATTCTGTTGTACACGCGGTTTCATTGGGCGTCACTTTTGTTAATTTTTTTTTTTTTTTTAGTAAATATGTGAAAACATCATCATTTCCACACTGAGAGAAAGAATAATAAAAATTACTGTGCTAGAATGGTAATCTGGTATCTGGGAACTTTTTACTTTGGCCAACCTAATTTTTACTATTCTGGACACTGATTTCTATTGTCCAAATAGTAAAAATCACTGTACTTGCAACAAAAATTACAGTCCTAAATATTAAAAATCAAATAGTAAAAAATCTCTAGACGACCGAACAGTACCAGATTGCCGTTCCAGCACAGTAATTTTCAAATTATTTTCTTTTAGTGTAACGTAATCGTTATACCGAAAGACTTTCTTTTTTTGCCTTTTGATAATAACAAATTAGCAAAAATGTCCCCCTACCACGCAGAGTTTGTATGCTTGCCAAAATACAAGGTGTTAAATTTTCGCCCCGTGTCCGAATAATCGTGCAGCACGCGTAGACTCTTGTTTTTGAAGCACGAAAAGTCACGGTTGATGGTTTCCAATATTTTTCTGGCCTGCAGGGAAAAGAGTTTTATACTAAACAAAGCGATCGACCAGATGACGAGACTAAAGTTTTAACAGCTCGCCCAGAGCAAATTAAAGACTAAAAAATTCTCTAATATCATTAATATAACTTCATAAGAGTTAAAAATGTGAAAAAATCGAAAAAATTATTATTTTACTTTTAAGCTAAAAAGACTGTAGACCAACGTCATTTTAGTCGTGAATTTTTTTTTTTTGGTTTCTCAAAAATGCTCTGGGCGAGCGCTCGAAACTTCAGACTCGTGAAAGATGTTGATGACCTTGTTTGCTTTGACAGCGATGTGCACGAACTTTGTGAGGAACTGCGAGTAATACAGTAAACTTGGCATGCACACCAAGAAGTAGTGGAGCTGATGTCGCACTTCGTACGTCTTTAAAATCTAGTGCGAGGAAACAGTTGGTTGTTATATATTGTTTGAGATTTTGTCAAGTATGGTATATACAGTGGGATTATTCGTTACATGTGGTATCAGGATGGTCGAGACAGCCAGCACTGTTGCCACGCGGAAAATCACTTTGTTCCTGGCGCCTTGAAGAGGCCACAGGCCAAACATTCGCAGACAAATCCGGCTGTGCACGTAGTACGCGCTGTCCCAGATTTCCATGTTTGTCTCGATTTTTTTACCAAACATGATTTCTTCAAGTCAATGCCGTTAATTTTTATTTAAAAATCACATCAACTTTAATCACGGTTATTTGCGCAATGAGTACGGAAAAACTGAATTCACGATACGTTGTAAAAATTTCCTTTGTAGAGGCCTACGGAGTGAAAGTAATATTTTTTAGTAATATTGATTATCGAAGGGATTTTTATTGATCTTTATTGAAACTTAAAAAAAAAAGTTTCTGAATTGTTTCAATCGTGACGATAAATTTTGTCTCTTATGAATTTTACGAACCAATTGCTTTTTGGGTCAATTTATGGATATTTGAGTGGAACAATTTAAAAATTTCAAGGAGCGAGTACATCGTCAAATTTTTTGCAATCTCGTATCCAAATGTGACTGTATTCGCAGTACTGTCATGAACATACGTTTGTCTTGAACATTTTCCAACTTTGGTGCACATTTATAATGGTATCACAATTGCAGTTTTACTAGCTTTTTGTCATTACCGTAAGTTTTTATACCGTAACCCACTTGGGTTTTTTTTTTTTTTTTTTTTTTTCCCCCATGTAAATGAACATGCAATTTCCGAAAACAGTGGCCAGGTAAGAAACTCTTGTAGACCTCATATAATTAAAAAAAAACTAGGCATTAATTTTAAACACTAAATTTTGGAAACTCCACTAAATAGGTAACTTTTTTTTACACTCTGTGGAAAATATAATTTTTTCGCACTTTTATACTTTTATACTATAATCTGTGATAAATAAGATATATCTATCATGTTAAAAACAATACTGGAAATATCAGTTTTCTCCAGCTACTATTGTTATAAATAAATTACGAGAAAAAAATATAATGTAGTTACGTCTAAACTTATTGAAACATTTCCTCAGATGCAGCTTAATTACTATTGAAAGTAAACAACTATATATCACGCAACCTTAACGCATAGTACACTAAGCAAAAATTAATAACTTAACAATTACTTTTGAAAAATCCAATGAAAATCATACACGTGTATCAACATGTACTTAACTGTGGTGTTTGCGCAATCGTTTGCATACAAGAATCCACGTGATATTCTCCCTTTTTGTTCGGTATACTTTGTTAAGGATCACAAATAAACGAGAATCCAACTGAGCAGTTCCTCTGAACGAACAATGGCCTAACTGACGTGGTCTGTTCAAGATATGAAGCCGTTAAAGGGTGCGCTTTACGCTCGATTTAAACAATTAAATGCAATGTAAAATTAAAGAAAGACAATGTCCCTCTCTTCACGAGAAATATGCATTCCGCGAATCGACCACGTGATTTATTCAGGTGGCAATATAATTACACGCTAGCTTTGAAACATTGTCTATAGACAATATACGCGCAAGCTCACTCGCAGTTTACGTAAGCCTACTTAGTAAGACAGTTCCATTCATTTGTAATGTTTCTTGGTGATGGGTAATACTTTTCAAAGAGTAATATGTTTTAAGGGGTGAAAAAACATCAAAAGTAAATTTTTTTACTAATACAAAAATAAATAGAACACATGATATTCCCTGATACTCAAGGTATATTTTTGAACAAAGGTGACAATTTCTGTTTAAATTTTTCAACAAAAAGATTAAAAAATGCTAGTTATGCTTTTGAAATCTACGAAAACATAAGGTAGCAAATTATTTGTAAATGTTTCCATGATCGTATGATAATAGTCTTGTTTTAGAATGATCTTTAAAACAAGTTTGTGTGTTTTTATGTTGTTTAAAATAAAAAGGTGGTTCAGTACTGGATCAGAATGTTGCAGACCATCATTTAACGTTAAAGAGAGAGTTGTTTGTAAAGTCAAACTATATACCATGGTGAAAATTCAGTGATGGGGTCCTTGAAGTAAAAATCAAGAAAAAAATGTGTTTGAAAAATGATTTTTTATAACTCTGAACTGTGTGGCACCTCAAAAAATATAAGCTGATGTTCTTAATCGAAATATGTCAAGATATACGTGAATATAACATTTTTGAATCAGCTAATATATAGCTATAAATTTTGATAAAAAAGTATAAGGTATTTAGTATTTTTTGATACCTTCGGTATGAACTGTATGAAAAAAAAAGATGTAAAACTAAGATAATTAATTAACCTCATGGCAACAAAATGAAGGAATCAACAAAGGACTTATATGTAACATTCAAATATTTTAAGACTAAAGAGACTAAATTATTACTTTGTTGCAATTAGTTTATTGCATCAATATAGAAATTTATTGATCTAGGTACGCACATCCACTGTAAGTAAAAAAAAAATACATTGTTTATAAATCCATATTTTTAACTTTGAATTTTTTTAATTTATGTGATCTTTGCTTTTGTTAATTTAAAAATATTTTCTTTCAAGTTTCACGATTTTATAAAGTGGAAATTAAATAGCTCGCAAATATTTTATCAAAAATAAAATTTTAATTAAAATCAAAATAAAACTTATAAATATAAAGAAGTGCAAGCTTTACATGTTTTTAAGGATAAATAATTAGTTTGATGCAATGTGCGTCAATTGAGCATTTACTTAATTCTATCATGCACACAGTTTTTTTACAGAAAACTCATTACAGTTTGAAGAGGTCCGTGAAGTATAAACCTTCCCGGGTGACCATAGAACCAATTTTTTATTCATCCTTCCCGAGAAAGAAGTGCCTGCGCGATGTGATATAGCTCTGTAAAAAGAAGGTATGCGTACGTCAGATACAATTAGAACCCATAGGTTCTATAGCATAGAGAGGGTACGGGGAAAATATAATTATACGTTTGAAAAACCTTACGTGGTTTTTTCTCTGTGCAAACACTGAGCAAGTATTTCAAAAGCTTCGAGTGTAGAAAAAAAAGGAAAGAAAGGGTTGATGGTATACCCTGCGGTTATGTTCAAAGGAAAAAAAAGTATTTTTATAGCAATAATACAAAAATTTTATCTCTTAAAGTCGAAACTTTAATGATCAATAGAATTTTTGCACAAAAAGTTTTACTCGACGCCTACAAAATACTTTGAAAGTTTAGTCATATTTACTTGATAATTTTATAACACATGACAACGTAGTTTTCTCAGCGAATTGTTAGTAAAAAATTAATTTTCCCCTGATTTGTTTCTTTTGAAAGATAAATAAATAAAGAAGAAATATATTTCTAGTGTCAGAGACAACAAGGAGGGTAATATTGCAGAAAACTTAGCATGAACTTCTGAGTAAATAACAAATTGGACAGCTACAAGAATCATAAATTAATATAGATAGTAGGTGTTTAGTAAAAGAACATAGCAGGATAAAGCTTGTGGAGTTAAAGAAAGAAGACTTTTTTGGCATACTGTAGACAAGCGGCCCCCTGTCTCGGCTTCGCCCGAGACTTACTAAATGGAACACCGTAGTGTGTTGACATGTAATGTGAAGCGTTTTCAGTTAGAAATTTTACATTTATTCCTGACACTTCTCAGTACAAAAATCTTCTTACTAAAAACATATTTGGTCGCAATCTCTACAGTTTATTTGGTCAAATAATAAGCTGTAAAAATTAAAAAAAATATAATTATGCTCAAAAGTACCGTGCGTTCTTTATGCCATAAAATAATCGGTGGCCATAAGGAGCGGTTGATTTGCAGTTCCTCCCGTGTAATTTACGAAAAGGGCTAGTTTTTGAAGATTTTGAGATTTTAAACTCCCAAAAATATGTATTGAAAAAAATTTTTTTTCTCTTATCTCACAACTTTATTACCAGAGCAACAAAGTCCCGGAACTTAATCTCTACATTTTTTATTGCCACAAAAATACAAGTATATTTTCTTCTTATTTAAAAACCTGAATTTAGATCTTTAAAGATTTAAGAGATTACTGTGAGGGTAAAATGAAAAGCTGATCTCTCACGTAATGGATTCTTTATTTGTCGATTTTGTATTCATTAGATACATTTGAAGTTTTCCTTCCAATTCACCCTCTTGCGACTTTTGTGACCCCTAAAGGCTGTTTTCTGTCAACTTTGTTAAGTTCTAATATATTTGTTGGCAAGGTAGTTCAACGTCCGATGGCCCTAAAAAAGACCGGTGATCTTTTTAAGTTAACTCTTTCTTGACTGCAGTTAACAGCAATTGTGACTGCCTGGATACCTCAGGGTGATCTTCTCTGGCTTGCTGTTGAAGACCCAGACTGATTGGGAGAAAAATTACAAAGTCCGAAGCTTTGGGGCTAGTTGTAGTGCTCTTTCCCAACGTCTCCTGGCATAACGTCGAAGACGTTGGTGTCTAAAGCACCTTTTTTAGTTGCAGATTCAATTGTTTTGGTGATCTTAGATGGGGAGATTAGTAGAGATTGGTTCGTGATACTTGCCCGTTGGAGACTCCCGTTGGCTCAAGTTTTTTTTCCATCATAGCTGTTAGGTTCGCCCAGCGCAGACCTTGGAGAGGATCGGTGATTCCTGCTTGAATGCTTAGAGTCAAGAGGGTAATATAGGGTCGTCGGTCACCAGGGTTCCCAGCCTTGCTTAGGTGGCCCTTAAAAGAACCGATGAGATTGAAGGTTAAGTAATGAACGTAAATACTTATATTGGCCCTGAAAAAGGCCAGTGGTGAAATTTCTAGTTATTCCTTATTATTATTCTTGATGATGGAGAGCCAGCTGCGGGTAGCTTGACTCTTACCCTCGGAGTCTCTGTGGACGGAGACCGTACATGAGGGACGTACGCCGCTGATCAAAATATATCTCGTCTTCAGGTCGTCCCCCGGATAACCAACCGCTCATCGTTACTCGGGAAAGTGGGACTGGAAAATACCTTCTCTGTATAGGTATAATGCCGTTGGAACGACACTGCTAAGGTGTATTGAAGGTAGCTAACTATGAAAATATCTGACAAGAAGTGCAGGAATAATGAAAGTGAAAGAAAAATGCAGGATAATGAAAAACAAAAAACAATTGAATCGTAATGCAGAAACAATGCATCAGGAAATAAATAGTGGATAAAATCAAAGAAATCTATACG